TATTTTAATTTTACAATGTTTAGATTTATATATATATATATATATATATATATATGAATATGTTTCATATATAATATATTTTTTATATTTTAATATGTTTAAATAATAATTTTAAACATTTATGTAATAATATTAAATCAAGGTCTAAGTGTTTTTCCCTTACTTCATGTATTATTATAAGCTCATATTTTAACAAGGACATAACAACAGATATAAGAAATATGATCCTAGAAAAGCTCCTGACCAGCAGACAAAACTCCCAAAGATGACTGGGAAACTACCACCAGAAGAGCATGCTAGCTGTGGTTAATGACGCACGGTTCACAATTTCAACCTGCACCATCACAGAGACCAACAGGCTCATATATGACACAGCATTAGTGATTTTCCAGCTACTTGACTACAAGATCAGGCTCAATGAGAAGCAATGCCCACCAGAGAGACTACGACTGGAAGCAAAGATAAAGACAATATGGAAGGAAGTTAGTAAGCTGGCTGAGGTGCTGGAAACAGCTAAGCAAAGACTGAGCAGATACACAGTTAGTGTATGTACAGCTAATCCACAATTAGTGTATGTACAAGGTAATCTTTCCAGGACACAGACAACTCTAAAAGACAATAACACAAGTGAACATCAAGTGTGAAATGTACCAATGATATTCTGCATAAGCCCTAATCAAGAAGAGTGGGTACAGATACAAGTTCTACTCTACGGGGACGACATCAAGCTGTATGCCAAGAATGAGCGGGACATTGACCCACTGATAACTAGGATATAGAGCAAGGACATCGGTATGCCATTCCAACTAGAGAACTGCGGGCGGATGATAGTAAAAAGAGGGAAGATGATCAGGACAGAAGGAGTTCAAGTTCCAGAAGGCCAAATAGAAGTTGTATAGAACAGCTACAACTACCTGAAGAACAAGATCCAAGCCATCAACACATATCCCCTACCGGTCATCAGGTACCCAGCTGGAATAATAACCTGACCAAGAGATGAACTGTTCACCCTGGAAACTACTCACTATGAATGGAGGATTCCACCCGAAATCCAGCACACAGAGACTATACACCAACCAGAAGGGAGGTGGGGCCTGATGAGTGTCAAGGCCACAGTCCTGGATGAAACACAGAGCATCCCCAAGTACATCACGAAGATGGCTCCCAAAGATGAACTGTAAGGGAATGCCTGAGACAAAGAGGATGCAGAAAAAGAGGAGGTCCCTTGGCAAGACAAACCTCTCCATGGGGTATACCACCCGCTCACATGACAAATCCAACCAGTGGTTGGACTGAAAAACAGCACTGAGGCACTAATACTAGCAGCGCAGGCACTCATCACCAATAGAAGATGGAATCTACCACAGCAGGCAAGACCTAAGGTGCAGACTGTGCAAAGAGGCCTCTGAGACAGTCCAGCACCTAGTAGTCAGATGCATGATGCTAGCAGGAACAGCATACACAGAGTGACACAACCACGTTGCTGGAATTGTGTACCGAAGCTCAGCACAGAATATAGTTACATAGTTAGTTACATAGTTACATAGCTGAAAATAGACTTGCAGTCCATCAAGTTCAGCCTTCCTCACATATGTTTTTGCTGTTGATCCAAAAGAAGGCAAAATACCTAGTCTGAAGCGCTTCCAATTTTGCAGCAAACTAGGTCTTTCATGACCCCAAAATAGCAGTCAGATGTCTCCTTGGATCAAGCAGCTATTACCCCACTAATTAGAAATTATATCCCTGTATGTTATGTTTTTGCAAGTAATTATCCAATTGCCTTTTAAACATCTGTATAGACTCTGACAAAACCACCTCTTCAAGCAGAGAATTCCATATCCTTATTGCTCTTACTGTAAAAAAAAACTTTTTTTTTGCCTTAGATGAAATCTCCTTTCTTCCAGCCTAAATGTGTGACCTCATGTCCTATGTATAGCCCTGTTTATGAATAGATTTCCAGATAAAGGTTTGTACTGGCCCAGAATATATTTGTATAATGTTATCATATCCCCTCTGAGGCGCCATTTTTCCAAACTAAAGAGATTTAAATTTTTTAACCTTTCTTCGTAACTAAAATGCTCCATTCCTTTTATCAATTTTGTAGCTTGTCTCTACACTTCTTCTAGTGCCATGATATCTTTCTTTAGAACAGAATATGGATTGGTCCAGATGGGAGATACCACAAAGAGAAGCTGAGAATGACCGGGCTAAGATCCTGTAGGACTTCAAGATCCAGACAAGCAAGTGCTGGCCAACTGACCCGATATTGTGGTGGTAGACAAGGAATGGAAGACTGCAGTAGTGGTGAATGTGGCAATACCCAGTGACTATAACATCAGGAAGAAGGAACATGAGAAGGTGGAGAAATACCAAGGAGTGAAGACAGTAGCAGCACTCGGGGCTGTGACTCCCAAATTGGGGGAGTGGCTTCAACAGATTCCAGGTGGGACATCTGAGATCGCTGTTCATAAGAGTGCAGTTCTAGGAACAGCTAAGATACTGTGCAGAACCCTCAAACTCTGGTAGAGGACCCTAGAATGAGGAATAAACATTCCACAGAGGACAGGTGAGAAAATCTAAATATATATGTGGTGAGTTCTAGGTGATAGTGGCTGCACAAAGATAATGAGTAACATTTTTTTGTAAAATTATTAGTCCACTAATGGGGCTGCATTGTCAAAGATACAGTGCAGGATTTTGAATGAACAGCATCATTGAGTTTCTCCACCAATCTGTTGACAACTCACCAAAGAATTGCAAATTTTAAGCCAAAATAGCTACTGGGTTCATAGGTGTATACGTCCTACACAGATAAACAGTGATTCTAACACACACTATTTAAACAACACACACTTTCACTAAAACATATGCATTCACAGACATACACACTTACTCATTCACAGTTACACTCATTCACCATCAGACACACACATTCACTGACAGACACGCATACACACTTACTGACAAGACACACTCACACTGACAGAACTGCATACACACTCACTGATAGACATACTTACTCAGTGTCACACACACACACACACACACACACTGAGACACACATATAATAACTGACATATACACACTGACAGACGTTTATACACTCAGTGTCAGACACACACCCACTCAGTGTCAGACACACATTCACTGACAGACCCACCTACACTAGTTGATAGTCACACACATTCACTAACAGACATACACATTCACTGACAGACACAGGCAGACAGTCACTCAGCACCACACACACACTGAAACACTCATAGACAGAAATGCATATACACACTGACAGACACACATACACACACTGACACATGCATACACACACTGACACACACTCTCACTGACAAACACACATACACACTCATTAGAGTGGTCAAATTCCGGTTCCAGCATCAATGCGGGGTGCCACCCGGCTACAACCAGAGCAGCTGCCCACCTCGGGGGAGCACTGAGGTGACCAGCCTGCCAGCTCCTGGGCCCCCCAGGACAGGAGGCTAACAAGGCATCTGCCAAGGTCTTTGGTGGGGCGTTTTTTTTTTTTTGCCGCCCCCCTGAAAGGCGAAGGCTTTGTCATCCTTGCGCTAAATATACAGCTGACTGGGATAAGATATCAGCTTGTGTTAACACAATCATATTTTTCCAAAAAAGGCAAACTAAGCATCATAACCACTACAGCTCTATGTAACGGTTATGTTACTTAAAGGACCACTATAGTGCCAGGAAAACATACTCGTTTTCCTGGCACTATAGTGCCCTGAGGGTGCCCCCACCCTCAGGGACCCCCTCCCGCCGGCTCTGGAAAGGGGAAAAGGGGTTAAACTTACCTTTTTCCAGCGCTGGGCGGGGAGCTCTCCTCCTCCTATCCGCCTCCGATCCCCCTCTTCGGCTGAATGCGCATGCGCGGCAGGAGCTGCGCGCGCATTCAGCCGGTCTCATAGGAAAGCATTTGCAATGCTTTCCCATGGATGCTTGCGTGTTCTCACTGTGATTTTCGCAGTGAGACGCACGCAAGCGCCTCTAGCAGCTGTCAATGAGACAGGCACTAGAGGATTTGAAGGCTGGATTACCCCATTTATAAACATAGCAGTTTCTCTGCTAGAGGGACCTGGCACCCAGACCACTTCATTAAGCTGAAGTGGTCTGGGTGCCTAGAGTTGTCCTTTAAAGTCTCTGGGCAGCTTCTTCTATTTTATTTAGTCCAGTCAGGATGAGTTTGATAGAATCTCAAACCCCTGTACTATGAGCAACTCTGCTTTTCAACAATCAAGCTGCACTTCTAAATGCTTAGACTTAAAACCCTATCTAAAGAAACATAGAAACATAGAATGTGACGGCCGATAAGAACCATTCAGCCCATCTAGTCTGCCCAATTTTCTAAATAAAAAGGAAAACTCTAGGAAACTTAAACACTTCACTAAAGGTTGCCGCTTTACTTTTGAAGTTTCCTTGTCAATTTTCCCAGAATTTCAGGATGTGTAACTATACCGCTAGAGGAATTCAATGCTGAATTATCATATTTTAAAATCTGTCACTACCAGAGGATTCTAGTGCTGAAATCCCTGTGATGCTGAGAGGGTTATACGAATTGTCATATATACCTGCTAAGGACTGCATTGTACAGAAGAGCACACATAATAGATTTAGAATAAGCAATGCCACCAATACTGATATCAATAATGCTATCACCCAGTACCTTCACCAATACCTTACTGTCAGTATAGAGACTTTAAAAAAAAACATTAGCATACAATCATGCAGACTGCTAAACTGCAGAGTCAAGTATACAGAAGATCCGGCTGTCAAAAAATTCACTACATATGTAGGGTACATGACCTTGCTTATATGTATGGAGCTATATAACTAATAAATATGTTAAAAAAATAAATATTTTTATTATTATTTCTCTCCTCCCAACCCCTGCTATCCACATTCTATCTCATTCTCCTTGGTACTACATATATATCATTCTCCTCCCATCCTCACATGAGATTCTAAAACTATCTTTGATGGTCTGCATCTACAGTACTGCTATTTTGGAGAGAGGCCAAGTCTCCCTCCCTTCTCTGCAGAGAACTGCTGAACACTGCGGCAGAGAGGAGGCAAGTGTTTGGGTGCTGCAGAGGATAGACGGACATTCTCAGGGAGGAAGGTAACGAGACTGCAGGAAATAAGAGCAAGTCTGCATGGGGATCACTGCATGAGACAAGCACTCTGATAATAGAGACTACAAAGGGGCAGAATTTCTTATTGGTGCAGGTAGACATATAAAGAAATCTCTTTTATCTGTCTAGAAATGGGACAGATGATGCAGACACACTTTGCCCCCTATTCTTTGACAGGGCAAGCCCAGATAAGACATAGCTGGGATGTGAGCATGTTCTCCTATAATATCTGAGCTGATACAATCATACTTTGGTTATAGAACAGATAGAGAGATCTAAAGAATGTAATAGAACATTCAGACAAATGTAGCACAGAGATATGTTAAGCAAGAAGGTGGATGTGTGCATGCATGGTGAATGGTGTCCTTGAACAGGACAGTGTTACTTTTGTGAAGGGATGTTAGTCTGGGATTAAAACATTTTTCCTTTATTTAAATCATTTCAGACACATGGGTTTCTTGCTCATTGCAATAGTACTGAATTTTATGGTTTCTTCTTTATACATATTACTTGTGCAGTGATTAAACACTATTAAACACTATGATGGGTTGGTATTATGTAGGGATAATTGTGACTCAAGAGAGATGTTTCATATATTCAGATATTAAAATTAGTGTGATGCTTTCATCTAAGAAAAAATTATGTCACTTTTTTTTTTCTTACCCTTGTTTTTCTGACAAGACTTGTGGCTTATTCACTAGAGGGTGAATTGTAGTAAGTTGTACTTTGAATTTACCATATTGACTTACAAAATGTTTTTAATTCACTTAATTTAATTACTGAATGAATACAGTTTTTTAATCTATGATTTAGTCAATCATCATCATGAATTCATAACAGTGATTTTTAAAATAGTGTTTTCTAGTGTATCATCACGTGACCTTCAACGTAACAAAAGATTATATTCAGATTTTAAATCCCTTGTTTAGTTTTCCGAAAAAAAACTATTCATGAAATACAAAACAATACACACGCTATTGGTGTAGTTATAACTGTTTTCATATTCTGCTCTCAGCATAATTATGATATGTCAGGAATAACTCTCTTAGCAAAGTGATCATTGATAATTATCAAAATAAATAAATCAGCTTCTATTGTTTTGAGTGCATGCTCATTAATATAAGGAGTCATATATTAACTTTTTCAACTATAATATTTAATATAATAACCAGGAACATTACTAGGCTTGGTTCTTCAGTCCAAGGTTAAATGTTATGGCCCGCCTAAATATAATAACTGTGACTAAACCAACCTCAGCATGTTTTATAATTCACACAGTGACACCAACTTTGAGGATGAATCCGGAGTATTATATAAACAGATTCATTAACACCACTCCTGCTGTGTTAACCCTAAGCCTTGATGTGTTAACTAACCCTGCGCCCACAACAGTTCTACACTGTGCTGTATAATTAACTTCAAATATGGAACATTAATGTGGCACTGTGACAAACTATGTAATATATAATCCATACTTCCCAACTTCTGCGCTCAGGAAATCAGGTCGAGTGGGCGGTGTCCCGAGGTGGCATCACCAGTGCTTTGCTAGTGATGCCTACAACACAATAGGTGGAGCTATATGGAAAGGGGCAGTCTTTTCCAAAAAGCAGGTGGTGTGGACTCACCCCAAAAAAGAAAAAGGGGGGGTGGGCGGATCTGCCAGCTGACAGGCAGCCTGGCTGGCCCCCTACTATTAGGATCATGCTGGGAGCGCTGCTGTAGTGCTCCCTGAATGGTCCTAGTGCCTGCTGCACAGCATGAGCCCGTCTAATGATGCGCTCGCACTGTGCTGCCCAATGTCAGGTCCCAGGTATCCACAGATGCATGACACCAGGGAACTAAAGCAGGATGACGGGACAGCACCCCAAAATTGGGCTGTTGGGAGCCATGCATTATTTCTCCCTGGACTGGAATAACTTAAATGGGGCCAACTTTTGACTCCATACCCTAGGAGCCCCCTTTACACCTAGCAACACCCCTGATATTAACCAGCATCAGCATGCAAAAACTACTATAACTACAATGAGTTACATTTTAAGTCAGAAAAAAACCCTATGCTATTATTAACAGCACAGCTTGTGGTATAATAGTGCACATAAACGTGGCAGAAGTGGTGAGAAGGCTCATTCTGAAGGAGCATGAAATCACCATGAAATGCTCTACGTGCATTTGTTACATGTTCTTCACTATTTTGCACTTGTGTAAATAGTTTTGTGAAATTCTATAGAAACAATACTTTTTTCACTTTTTGTTTCTAAAGATTAGAAGCTCCTAGACTGCTTGTCTGTCATTTCCTCTTCAGATCTCAACCAGTTCCTGTTTTGTAGCCAGACTATTTCTCTGTGAGAAACATTACTTCCATGATATTAGAATCAGTATAGTATAGATCTGGAGCAAGGAAAGACATGTACACATTTATACAAGTATTGTATCCTCTTTCTCTTGTCATAATACAGCAGCAGCATATTTTACCACTGCCATGTTACAAAGGGTTAGGGGAGGGAGCACTGTTAATTAAACTTGGCATAGTAAGCACCGGTATATATTTTGTAGAGTAAGCAAAATATAACATTGTCCATGTTTTGATGGAGGGAAGAAAGCAGGTGTTGTGGGAAATCTTACTGTGCTCTCCCTTGCGCACCCTTCAGTGGTCCGACAGCCAGGATATAACGTTATCCAAGCTTCTGAATCACTAGAGGGCGCACATGGAGGACACTTGTCACCAAGGAGCAGATCCACTCCAGTCCTCTCAGAGAAAGGTAGGGAGGCCGGGTGGACATCTTAATAAGTAAATATTTGTGAATATGAATGCGATTTTGCATGTCTGGTTTATGTGTGTGTGTGTGTATGTATATCAGTCACGTGTGTATCCTACATCCGTCATGTGTGTGTAGCGGAACGCCAATATTAAATCCACGAATTCCGCTGGTTCAGGAAGTAATCCACAGTCAAGCGCTGGAAACAACAAGGCAATATCCCAAATCTCCCAGTAACCGGACGAAACACAGTTCTGAGAGTCAACTGAGGTCTTTTATTTCAGCTCCACAATTTATACAAGTCCCCATGCAAGGGGTTTCCTGAGTCCCCTCCCAGGGGCATTTCCAGAGGGGACTACATGGGGGACTTATTGTACAGGGTTTTTCTCCCATCAGGCACTGCTGCACGAGAGGGATCCTCCCACTGGAATATACCGTTAAGTGGATTATCCCTCCGTGCAGCAGAACTTACAATTCGTATAAAAATACATAACTCTATGAATATCTGGTCTATTTAAACAAATGGATGTTCGGTAGATAGCTGGGGTCTGAGCGCATCATTCATGAGATTACCGCTCAGATCCCAGCTAAAACAACCGAACGCCGCATGAAAAACACATTTATTAAAAGACATATTAAACTGACCGATTGCCTTCCAGGGAGTGAAATACCGACGGCCCGGAAATACCGAACGGCCCGGAACTACCGAACGGCCTGGAGGCTCAGCGGTGTTCGCGCCGTCGAGTAGCCGTTTTTAGTACCATGCGCTCGACGACCTAATACCGCTGAGGGAACAAAGGATCCAAGATGGCCGACCGCCGCATGGTCGTTAGTCGAACGGCGGCCACCTAGGAGAGCCTCTAATTACCGATTGCAACATTGTTGCAATCGGTTAACAAGCGCCACACGCCTCTAAGTGTGTGGGCTACTATATGGAGTGTTTTCGGTTCACGAACGGCCCGCAAAAGTGCCGTTCGTGAAACGAAAGAAGAACCCAATACAAATAGCTATCTGCATTCGGCAGATAGCCAATACAGGAAATACAAGGTATTACAGCCAGCATACATTATACTTAGTCACACACATATCCCACAACCATACAGGCAACCCTTAAAGGTACAGTCTCTTTATGTTGTCCAAGTGGCTAGGTTTGCCACAGTGTGTATGTCTGGATTATGTGTGTGTATGTATGTATATCAGTCATGTGTGTATCCTATGTCAGGATTGTGTGTATGTCTGTGATTATGTGTGTGTATGTCTGTGATTGTGTCACGACTGCTAGTGTGGTCCAGCACGCAGAACTATGTAACATCTACATAGAAAGAAACTGAAAGGATAGAACGTAAACCGGTCCTTAGAATGGCCGGACTGATACGTTAAGACAGAGAATGGTCAAGGAATAGCCGAGGTCAAGGAATCCAGAAATACACAATACCATTAAACAAAGCAAGTCAGGGGAACCAAAAATTAGAGTAGTCACGAATACCCAAGGTCAGAATACCGGGAATAGCAATAACAGGAATAGTAAACGCACTCTCGGGAAGTGCAGAACAGAACTGTGAGAAAAATATATATAAAAAACAGGACATATTCATAAGCACTGTGTAAAAACAAAAATATAAAAATACACTACTGCAATTAAGTCTTTAAATAATAGCAGCATATAGCATAAAACATACAGAAAACAGCAAACGCGTCTCGACATTAAAGTCTTCCTCGGTGCAATGTTGATAGGTGCTGATGATTCTTCTTTTCTATGTTTCTTTTGATTGCCAAAATTGATTCTCGCATCAGTTTACTTCCGGGCCACGTGTCAGTTCCGGTTACGTTCGTGCACCAGTCCGGCACCAATATGACATCACTTCCGGGTTAGTGCTGAGTGTGTCTCTCTACTGTAGGAAGTCCTTTAGCATCCATATTGTTAGTGGGCAACTTTTCCCATAATTGGGATAATGTAGAATAAAAGGTGTTCTGTGGACTTATAAACACTTGTATTAGGTAGTGATAATTTGCAATCTAAATTATTATTTTTTTTTAAATTATTTATAGACCAATGTTACACAAGATAAGAACATATAGATACAATATAATATTGACAATATATATTTTTTTTAAACTTAGCAAGATGGAAATGTGTATATATTAACCAGAATTATTTATTAAAAATATATAAAAGAAATTTAAATAATATATATATAAAAAATTCCTTGGTTCTATAAAAAATAAAATATATTTATATTAAAAATCTGTCAAAATACCAAACCCACACCCTGACTCTTACGGACCACTAGAGATGGGAAAACTAAAATGCATCTCCCTTAACTGCAAGGGCTTAAACAACCCCGCTAAACGCCATCAATTAATGCGATGGGCGAACAGAACAGGGGCTGACATAATACTCCTCCAGGAAACTCACTTTGATGCAGCAAGACCGTTCCCACTGAAAAACAGACATTACAAGGAATACCACCTAGCAAACTCCCCAAACGGAAAAAGAAATGGATACTAATTTGCAATACATGCCCCATTAGCTTTAAACAAACCACCGCTGACCCCCAGGGCACATTCCTAACAATAGCAGACCACCATGGAACACACAAATATGTACTAACGACTATCTATGCTCCCACTACCCCAGGCCCACCCTTCTGGTCAGCCTTACGAGCACACCTAAAGCTATTCCCCTCCCACCACATGATCCTCGGATGGGACTTCAATGCAGTCCCAGCACCCAAACAGGACCGAAAACGCCACCCACAACATACCAAAACAATGCCCAAAAATGACGGCCAATGATAAACTACTCTCGACCTTTATACTCCAATCAGGCCTCCAGGCCTCCTGGAGACTACAAAATCCTACACTAGCAGACTTTACCTTCCACTCAACCCCCATCTTTCCTATTCAAGGATCAACCTGTTTCTGGTCTCCCCCTCACTCCTCACCCATGATACCACAACATCAATAGGCACAATCACGTGGTCTGACCACGCAGAGATATCCCTCACACTATCAATCCCACAGATGGCAAGATCGTGGTCGTAGCGTCTTAACCCCACCTTACTGCATAAACCTGAGATAAAACAAACCATACATGATGCACTTAAAGAATACTTCGATATAAACAAAGACTCCGTATCGTCTATAGGAACACTCTGGGCGGCACACAAAGCCGTCATTAGAGGCAAACTAATCGCAGAAGCCACAAAACACAAAAACCTACAACTAAAGGAACTCAAGGCCCATTTACTTTCCCTTAGGACCCTTGATGCTCAACATAAGCAACACCCCACCCCAACACTATCAGCCCAAATAAAAACCCACCAACAAGCCATCAAATCATACATGACCAAAGACTCACTAAAAGCCCTCCAGTGGAGTAAACAACTCTTTTATGAGAAATCAAATAAGGCAGACACCCTCCTAGCCCGCAAACTCCGCCAAAAATCACAAACTAAACGGATTATCCCCGGGGGGGCAACACTCACATAGCATCAAGACCCCAACCACATAGCATCAATATTCTCCAACTACTTTAGATTACTCTATGACAACAATCCGGACCCCTCTCCAACCCTGAAACAAGACATCGAACTGTACCTCCAAAACAACCCCCTCCCATCCCTAACAGACACCGCAATAGCAACACTGTCAGCCCCCTTCACGACAGAAGAAATCGCCAACACATTAAAAACAATCAAACCAAACAAATGCCCCGGACCAGACGGCTTCACAGGCCTATACTATAAGACATACGCGAATGCTCTCATACCCCATCTCACAGCTTTAGGGAACTCAATACTAAAGGGGGACCCACTCCCAAAGGAGATGCTCAAAACAAACATCTGCCTTATACCGAAACCCGACAAAACACATCTAGACCCCGGCCACTACCGACCCTTATCGCTACTTAACGTGGACACAAAGATAATCACCAAAACTTTAGCTAACTGAATACAACCCCTCCTCCCAAAACTAATACACCCCGACCAGGTGGGCTTCATACCCACCAGACAAGCAGGGGATAACACAAGACGTATGATAGATCTAATATGGGTGGCCCAAAGTGGGAAAAGTGGGAAAATCCCAACCCTTCTTTTATCAATGGATGCATAAAAGGCCTTTGATCGCCTACTATGGCCACCCTCCAAAAATTCAAATTCCCACCACCCATTCTTCAAGCCTTACAGACCCTTTACGCCCAACCAACGGCCACACTCCTCATACCAAATGCCAAACATCCAGAATTCATGATTAAAAATGGGACGAGACAGGGCTGCCTGCTCTCCCCACTCCTATTCGCCCTATCACTCGAACCCCTCCTCCAAAACATAAGTAGGGAACAAGAAATCCAAGGTATCAAGGTCAGGAACGAAGAATAGCAGCCTATGCGGACGACATAATCACGGACCTTACTCAATCCCTCCCACCCTTACTGACACTCCTACAAAAATACGCAACCCTATCGGGATACAAACTAAACCTAGGGGAAAAAAAAGGAAGCCCTCCCGATAGGGATACCACAACCAACTCTCGAACACATAAAACTGACCCACCCATTTAGATACAACTTGCAAAGCATTCACTATCTAGGTACGCACCTCCCAGCAGACCTCGATAAAACCTACGCCCTGAACTACACCCCACTACTCCGCCAAGCACACCTAGACCTACAAACATGGGGCCCCATGTCCATATCATGGCTGGGGCGTATAGCCTCCATAAAAATCTACTCCCGCGATTCCTATACTTATTTCAAACTCTACCCATACCCATATCTAAACACGATTTCAAAACACTCCAAACTAACATTGACAAATTAATTTGGTCCAACAAAAGGCCACGTATCAAAAGAACCACAATGTATAAAACCACCAGAACCGGAGGCCTAGGCCTCCCAAACTTCTACCACTACTAGCAGGTGGCCCAACTAGCCCAGATACAGAACCTACATGCACAACTGGGGCTCAAATTATGGGTGGACCTGGAACATGACCTCCTGGGATGAGACCACCCCTCACTACTCTTTTGGGTGCCCAAGAAAGACAGACCACCAACTCCGCAAACCACCCCAGCCCTAACGACATCCTTTCACATCTGGTACACCACAATCTCTAAGAACCCCATAATTAACAAACCATCACCTCTCACACCCATTCTGAGAAACAATCAATTCCCCCCAGGCCTCTCGCCTCGAGATTTCGCGAGATATGAGGACAACGAGTTATACAGATTCCTCCACTTCTTCCAAGGCCAACAATTCCGACCCTTCCAAGACCTGCCCAACCAGACCCCACTAAACACATTTGACTACTTTCAATACCTTCAAATATGCAGCTTCCTCAATGAACCACACAACAAAGCAGCTGCCACCGCTAGGCCAATCCAATTCGAAAAAACATGCCTGCACGCACCCATACAAAAGGGACAAATCTCTACCATATACCTCCTCCTAAACGCTAACTCCCCGGAAGACACCCTCACATACACAAAGGCGTGAGAAAAAGACATAGGCCCCCCAGAGGACCCATCAGATTGGTCAGACATATGGGAGGCTACGGCCTCACTCACCATATGTGTGAACCACAAGGAGCAGGCATACAAAACCCTACTCAGGTGGTACCTAACACCCCTGAGAATGAGACAAATGGGCAGGGCAACCACGGACTCATGCTGGAAGGGATGTGAGCAAAAGGGAATGCCCACAGACCTCACAAATATGGGAAAAGGTGACCACATTAGCATCTAGCATACTTAATATGGACATACCCAAGGACCCCTCGGTGTGGCTACTCTCCAAACCACACACCCCCCTTACCAGAGCCCAAAACAAACTGATAGCAAGAATGGCACTAGAAACTAGACGCACGATAGCGGAACAATGGGGAAACCAAACCACACCCCAACTAGCCACTATGATCAGGAAAATGAATGAAGCCATGGAAATGGACAAACTATCAGCACTGCTACATGACACGACACAACACTACCATAAGATATGGGACCCATGGATCCAACACCCCCTACAGCTTAACTAAAAGGAGGAACGGAGAACTGTGAAAATCCCCCCAACCAAACTCCTCCCCCCCCCCAAAATCAATAAACGACTGAAAAAATACATAGCGAATAGCCCTGACTGGCTATTTATTGGTGAGGTTTTTTCTATGTGGCACGTCCAGTATTCAACTACTGTCACTGTGTGCTATACCCATGCAAAGAAATAGCCAGAGAGAGGTTGGTACAGAAAGGAATAGGATGATTTTCCCACAGACACATACTAAGTGGTGAAGAGGTTCAGGGGAGAGATACATCTTGGGTGACAGGCAGCAGAGGTGCACAGAGCGACCCCCACCAATCAGAATATGGCTGTAGTGGATACCTGCTCTATGGCTGTTGTATGTGGCTTCAGAGTGGTGCAGCGAGGGAGCTAATGGGATCTATCTGATTACCTAACTCATTTGCGCTCTCTGTATTGATACTGGAGCCAGGATGAGATGTCACCCCAGGCCCGGCACCAGTACACCACTAGGAGCTGGGCTGTCATTGACAAGAGATCCTAGCAGCTCCCCACTGAACCACAGAGATGAGGTTGATTCCAGCTCTTTCTTACAAGGTAATAAGATAGCGGCTGGGTAGACCTCATTGCCTAATTCTCAATTCTAATCCCAACTCTAATCCTAACCTAATCCTTACCCTAATGCCAACTCTAATCCTAGCCCATAATCTATGTCTAATCTTAACCCTAATCATATCACTACTGTTAGGATTAGGATTAGCAAGGAATTTGATGTCAGAATAAAGAATATCTTGCTGATTTCAACAAAGGTAATCTCTTGCTGATTTCAGAAAAACTCTTGCTGACATCCCTTGTCGATATCAGCATATTGTATCCCTTAGAGTGCAGAGCTTGGCTTTGTGTTTACATTTGCAGAAGGAGAGGTATTATTTCCATCTCTGTTGCTAAATTACATTATGACAAGTTGTTGCAATCTGATTTAAATTCCCCCTTTAGACACGTTCCAACACTGTGATCAGCGCTGTGCATAGAACAGTCTTGATCACCCTCTACAAATGGTGATTGCTCTGCATGGGGCTTACAAAAAGAACACATTAGGTTCTCCTCAGACCCCTCATGTCTAAATTAGCTGTGGCCGCCACCCCGATGGGAAAAGGGGTCCCGCTGCTAGAGACGTTCTTTGCCCCTAGTGGGAGGAATGCTGTAAAGCAGAGCAGTATCAGCTCTTACAAGAGCTAGTGATTAAGCACTCCAAGCAGAAGGGAGACAGGGGTTAATGAGTGGCACACTCCTCATACAGGTGGACCGGTTGTTTGGTAGTTCATTCGGTAGGGGAATAGAATAAAATACAAAACAAAGGTGAATGAAATGTCCAGAGCACATAGGCAAATGAAATAAAGGGATTGTAATTCCAGGGACAGGGTGAACCGTCACAGCACTACCCCCTTGTGGTACACTCCGGCAGACCCGGTTTGACCCTTTTCAGGTCAACTTGGGGATGTCCGGACTTAGGTTAGGTGCTGAGTTCCATCTGTCGGGACAACACGTCATCGTTGCCATTCTGCTTCCCGGGCTGATAGTGGATTGTAAAGTTGTAGGGCTGTAGTGCCAAGCTCCACCATAGTAATCGGTCATTGTCTCTTGCAACCCGGTTCAGTCACACCAACGGGCTGTGATCGGTGACCAATGTATTTTCCCGTCCATACAAATAAGGGGTCAGTTTTTTCAATGCCCACACCAAGGCTAAACATTATTTTTCCACTGTCACGTAGCTCACCTCAAAAGGATATTGATACTTTAGAGAGAGTTCAGAGAAGGGCTACTAAACTGGTTCATTGATTGCAGGATAAAACTTACAAGAAGGTTAAAGGAACTTAACATGTATAGCTTGGAGGAAAGACGAGACAGGGGGGATATGATAGAAACATTTAAATACATAAAGGGAATCAACACAGTAAAGGAGGAGACTATATTTAAAAGAAGAAAAACTACCACAACAAGAGGACATAGTCTTAAATTAGAGGGGCAAAGGTTTAAAAATAATATCTGGAAGTATTACATTCCTGTGGATTGTCCTTCACCATCCTAGCCAACTGCTCCATGCGGTCCCTGAGTTTCAGTACATATGGCACAATGTTAGGTTTCACGTTCCCAGTGTTCCCTAATGAGATCAAGGGTCCTCGCACCCTTGTCCCATAGAGCATCTCGAAAGGGGAAAACCCAGTAGATTCCTGTGGCACCTCTCTCTAAGCAAACAAGAGGTGAGGCAGGAACCTCTCCCAGTCTCTGCAAGCCTCAGTAAAGGTCCTCAGCATCTGCTTGAGGGTACAGTTGAATCACACACAGTTAGTCTGTGGTAAAGTGAGCTAAGTATGGGCTTAATACCACAAACCTTCCACAGCTGTTGGGTTAGATTTGCGGTGAACTGTGTTCCCTGATCTGAGATGATATCCTTGGGAAACCCTACTCTAGCGAATATCTGAACTAGAGCCCCAGCAACAGTCGCTGCATGGATATTCGAAAGAGCAATCGCTTCAGGGTAGCGGGTAGCGTAGTCCACCACGGTAAGGATGTACTTCTTACCGGATGGACTAGGTCTAGCCAGGGACCCCACTAGGTCGACTGCTATCCTGCAAAAAGGCTTCTCAATAATGGGCATGGATAACAGTTGAGCTTTAGGGTGGTCACCCTCTTTCCGTACCCGCTGACAAATGCCACAGGTTTTGCAATATTGTCGCATGTCCCCAGAGATTCCTGGCCAAAAAAAGTTCTAGGTCACTCTATGGGCTGTGCGGCGTACTCCCAAAATCCTGCCACGGGTATGTCATGCCCAATCCTGAGAAGCTCAAACCGGTACTTCATGGGAATTACCAGTTGGCGCTTCTGGGATGGGGCCGCCCCTTCACTGTGAATCTTTGTGAGTCTGTATAGCCTATCCTGTTCCCAGGTAAACCACTTACCCCCTAGTCCCCCTTGCTCAGTATCTGCTTTGTCTCGATACTTATGTAACGTGGGATCCTCCTGGGTTTCCCTCCCAAACTCCTCTGGGGTGAGTCTAGGGTCACAGTCGGGGTTTAGTCTCTTACCTGGGTCTCTCTGGCCTGTGATTTGGCTTCCACATTCCTCGCTTGCAGGCAGGTGGTGACAGGATGGACTTCAGCAGGTTTGCTGGGGATGTAGGCAGACGTTAGGGGACCCAAGTCATTCCCCAATAGGCCCCAAGTCCTTCCTAACTTCCACGTTCACTGTGCTGGATCCAGCTCCGCACTCTAGATGAATGCGGGCAGTAGGCAGATGGTACACAGCTCCCCCAGCTACTCGGACGGTCACGGTTTGTCCGGTGTGTCCTTTGTCTTTTACCAGGTGGCGTTGGACCAAGGTCAAGGTAGCTCCAGTGTCTCTTAATCCATGGGCCGCTTGCCCGTCTTCCAGCACAATTTGCCGGTGGTGTTGTTGGTTGTCCTGGGTGGCTGCTTGCACTGGATCCGCCTCATGCAGTACTCCCCAATATTCCTCGGTTTCCAGGCAATGAGTAGCTGGAGTTGGGGTCCGGGATCGTGCATTGCTGGGGCGGTTACAAGTAGGTCTGGGGGGCTCCAGAGGACAATTTCTCTGTACACCTGAAACAACGCACCCTGTTCCTGGGTGGGGCGGGTTGCTGTCTAGTTGGGCTCTGGTTGGGTGCAGGGCCTGGGGACACCAGAGCCTGGAATTTGGGGAGAGGAGGAGAAAGTCTTACCGGGGCGTGCTCTGCTTTCCTTGAGTCAGTGTACTCGTCGGCCAGACAAGCTGCTTCAGGCAAGGTGAGGGGTCTCCGTTCCCGAATCCATTCCCATAGCTCTGACTGCAGGGCATTGTAAAAATTTGCCAGGAGAAACAGTTGTAACACATCCTCTCCCGATACAACTTGACAACCAGTAATCCAGTTGGATGCAGTTCTGTGGAGACGACAGGCCCACTCGGTGTAGGAATCCCCACTGTGCTTTCTGGATTCCCGGAACCGTCTCCAGTACGCCTCGGGGATGACTGTGTACCAGGCAAGCAAGGCCTCTTTCTTGTCATCGGGTATAGCTCTAAAGGCTTCGGCACCTTTACCTGATACCTAGTGACTCATTCGTCTGTAGGTACCTTGTGTAAATCACATTGTCTTTCGGTCCATTTCTAGCAGTTCGGCCAGTAATGAACTTTTCGGACGGTTGTTTGCCGTTCGGCCGCGGTTCTCTAACAAATCATTCAGTGTCGACCGCTTCAATCCTTCGTAGCGATTCTTCATCTGCTTATTCCATTCTCGGATCCAGATGCAGCATCTTGTCTAGGGGAAAATAACCATCCCTCCACTGCCACCAGATGTGGCGACCACCCCAATGTTCTTTTCCCCCTAGTGAGAGGGATGCCGTAAATCAGAGCAGGAACAGCTCTTACAAGGGCTAGTGATTAAGCACTCCAAGTAGAAGGGAGACAGGGGTTAAGGAGAGGCACACTCCTCATACGGGTGGTCTGGTTGTTCGGTAGTTCATTCGGTAGGGGAATAGAATAAAATACAAAATGAAGGTGAATGAAACGTCCTGAACACATAGGCGAATGAAATAAAGGGATTGTAATTCCAGGGACAGGGTGAACCGTTACATTAGCTATGGCAATAAAAAGGTTGTACGCAGTTCTCACATTGACTGTTGCATACAGATCATGCAATACAGATCTATCAGTCTAACCTACAGCCTTAGATAAATAACCTGTGATGTTTATACACATATACATACATACACATAAATACACATAAACTGTTTAAGTGTATTTCAGTATTAATATACATATATATATATAATTATATATCTATATTAATATCAAAATACATGTAGAATAATATTGATTAAATATATATATAATTGTTATTATATATTTATATATACTATAAAATAAATAAATATGTAAATATGTAAAAAAAAAAAATAATACAGAATAAATAGATAAAAAATACATATATGTGTAATTTTGTTCTAACTTTATCTTAAAATAAATATATATACAGTTGCAAGAAAAAGTATGTGAACACTTTGGAATGATATGGATTTCTGCACAAATTGGTCAAAAAATGTGATCTGATCATCATCTAAGTCACAACAATATACAATCACAGTCTGCTTAAACAAATAACACACAAAGAATGAAATGTTGCCATGTTTTTATTGAACACACCATGTAAACATTCACAGTGCAGGTGGAAAAAGTATGTGAACCCCTAGATTAATGACATCTCCAAGAGCTAATTGGAGTGAGATGTCAGACAACTGGAGTCCAATCAATGAAATGAGATTGGAGGTGTTGGTTATAGCTGCTCTGCCCTATAAAAAAACACATACACATACCAGTTCTGGATTTGCTTTTCACTAGAAGCATTGCCTGATGTGAATGATGCCTCGCACAAAAGAGCTCTCAGAAGACCGACGATTAAGAATTGTTGACTTGCATTAAGCTGGAAAGGGTTATAAAAGTATTTCCAAAAGCATTGCTGTTCATCAGTCCATGGTAAGACAAATTGTCTATAAATGGAGAAAGTTCGGCACTGCTTCTACTCTCCCTAGGAGTGGGGCTGCTTTGCTGCGTCAGGGCCTGGACGGATTGCTATCATCGAAGGAAAAATGAATTCCCAAGTTTATCAAGACATTTTGCAGGACAACTTAAGGCCTCTGTCTACCAGCTGAAGCTCAACAGAAGATGGGTGTTGCAACAGGACAATGACCCAAAGCATAGAAGTAAATCAACAACAGAATGGCTTAAACAGAAGAAAATACGCCTTCTGAAGTGGCCCAGTCAGAGTACTGACCTCAACCCGATTGAGATGCTGTGGCATAACCTCAAGAAAGCAATTCACACCAGACATCCCAAAAATATTGCTGAACTGAAATAGTTCTGTAAAGAGGAATGGTCAAGAATTACTCCTGACCGTTGTGCACATCTGATCTGCAACTACAGGAAACGTTTGGTTGAAGTTATTGCTGCCAAAGGAGGTTCAACCAGTTATTAAATCCAAGGGTTCACATACTTTTTCCACCTGCACTGTGAATGTGCCCCCATGATGGCATACCATTTGCAATAGTAGACAACCCAAGGTATTACAAATGGGGTATGTCCAGTCTTTTTTATTAGCCACTTAGTCACAATCACTGGCCAGAATTCTTCTTTCTCACATTTTCTTATATTTTATTCATATTAAATTATGTTTCATTCCTAAATATTTGATGTTAAATAAAAAAGCCCTGTTTACCCTGAATAAAATGATATATAATAAGTGTTGGTGCACATAATATGAAAGAGGCGAATTACGCATGAAAAGACATATAGCGCAAATTCAACTTTTTGTTTTTACGTTTTGTTTTGATCACAACATGTACATTTAGCTCAGTCCTCAAGGGGTTAAAAGAAGAAAAACTACCACAACAAGAGGATATAGTCTTAAATTAGGTGCAAAGTTTTAAAAATAATATCAGAAAGTATTGCTTTACTGAAACAGTTGTGGATACATGGAATAGCCTTCCAGCTAAAGTGGTAGAGGTTAACACAGGGAAGAAGTTTAAGCATGAGTGTGATAGGCATAAGGCTATCCTAGATATAAGATAAGGCCAGGGACTAATGAGAGTATTTATAAAATTAGGCAGACTAGATGGGCTGAATGGTTCTTATCTGCCGTCACATTCTATGTTTTTATGGATCTAGGTGCTGCAGTTTGTGTATATGTTTATAGAGGTTGCAATGTGTGTGTATTAGGAGCTGTACTGTAGGGATGTGTGTATAGGGACTGCAGTGTTTGTGCATATGGGTATAGTATGCATGAGTTTCTAGAGGGTACAGTGTATAAATAGGGGGAGACGTGTATTTTTATAAGGGTATAGTGTATATAGGAGGTATGAGGGTGTAACATATGTGTATAGGAGGTGTAGTATGTGTGTAGTAGAGATAGTAAGAGTGAAAAGAGTGCGTAGAGGTATAGTATATGTGTATAGGGGGTTCACTGTGTGTATGGGGCAGGCCAGGCAACCTTTGGCACTTCAGATGTTGTGGACTATATCTCCCATGATTCTTTGCTAACATTATGGCTGTAAGAGTATTATGGGAGATGTAGTCCATAACATCTGGAGTGCCGAAGGTCGCCTACCCCTGATTGAGCACATATATGGGGTACAGTGTGTAAACAGGATATTGAGTGCATAAGGGGATTTAGAGTGAGTACAAAAATATAATAAATGTGTATAGTGTGTGTAGGAGGGTGTATTTTATAGTGGGTCATAGTGTGTATTACTTTATTAAAATCATAATTTATAAATAATGTATTAGTTCATTGAATTAGTTTTAAAAAAAGGAAAAAAGTAACAACATTCGCCCTGCTGGACCATCAGGGATCGGAATGTCCCCGCTCACTGCAAGGTAATAACAGGAAGGGGAGCTTCCAGTTAATACCTTGCTGTGAGCAGGGACATTCCGGGTCCCTGGTGGCCTAGCAGGCCGGGGTGCAGACCATGAATAACTCTCTGCCTCATGAACTCCGGCACTTACAATGTCAGATTGGTCAGGGCTTGACCGGAGACAGTTAGTCATGATCTGCACCCAGTGGAGGTACAGACAAGAAGATGCTGGACCGTCTCCCTCATGGCATTAGAGTGTAGTCTGGGGCTAAAATGCAATTATGTGAACATGCTACTCTTCCCAACCTGCACATTATTCCTTTAATTTTTTTAATGTCTTTGTTGCAGTCCTGGCAAATATCCTTTTCAGTCATTTTATTTAAAATGTAATTCTGTCAAATATGTCAGATCCTGAAGCTTTTCCCTGATCTTTTCTTATTGTATTCATTTAAAAATCCAAACAAGGCTGTCAGAAACTGTACCCTAAACAAAATCTGACTACCAAGCACACTAAAAACCGCTCCTCCCAAGAATTGGAGTTAAAGATGTGGGACAGGCAGGTGTGAAGGCCAGAAGTGGGTGTTGACAATGGATGAATCTGTCTGTGAAGTGTGCTGGCTTGTCAGATAAAGTGGTGTGTCATCATGCCATGTGTGCACAAGTGGCTGGTCTCACCACCACATGCACCATGTGCAGAATGCTCCGGAAGTGCTCTGCCCATGGTCTTATTTCCCTGAGGATACTCAGGCACTCTTGCCAGCATAACTCGGGACCAGTTGGAAAATGCTCCAGGAGTGCTCTGCTCATGAGTTTACGCTTTAGCGCAAGCACATTTAATAATACCCCCGTGCTGCTCTGATTTGCGATATTCCTTGGTGTACCAACATGTGGGTGCCCTTGATGGTAAAGGCAGGCACAGTTTTGGAGCGAAGTTAATCTCGATCTGCCTTTTTTTTCCAACCCTTTTTTGTTTTTTATAGAACAATGCCCTATTGGCATTATGTTATCAGTCCACCAAAAAAAAAAAAAAGAAACACTCAAAGAGTGCTTTTAAGTAAAGTTTTACTTACCTTAATCCAGCGCCAGACAAAGCTCATAGAGAAGTCTTTGATTGGAGTTTTAATGGGCTCAGACTGCTTGCCTGCACTCTGAGCCCGCAAGGGGAGTGGAAAATGCGCACTCAGAACGGGAAGACGCGCAAAATTTGGATATATAAACAACCGGAATACAGAAGAGTATTAAGCTCTTGAGAAAGTTAAAAAAAAAACGAAACGCGTCAGCAGCAGCTGTTCCCAAAGGAGTGACTTAGCCCTTACCTCTACTACAGGACGTTATATGGACCTTCCTCTAAAAACTGGACATCTGGATATATGAGGAAATGTAACTGTTGTAACCAAGATGTACCAAAGGCTGCACCAGGGAACTTAGCCCACTTAGTGGCATATAAGCGTTTTTGCACAATTTAGGAATATTTCTAATTGTGCCATGTTTGTTGTGAGTGTGATTTTAACTTCTTTATGCTGTTACTGTTGTTAATAAATTACTATACTATGATTATATTTTTTTTCTTCCCTATCTTTTATATACATTTTATATATTGTTCACTTTGGTATAGGGGGATTTGGGGAGTGATCCTTATATAGAGGCTTGCCTGCACGTTCTGTTGCACTGCTCTCAGTATACCTGTTCAGTTTTTCTTTGTTACAAAGGATTCAGACTAAGGAACTGCAGATTTTGCAAGCTGCTTTTAATTATCATCCCAATAAAAATGCATAAATTAATGCATGTATTCATTGGGGGTATATCTACTAAATCATGATTTTTGTTTTTTGGAGTATGGTGGTCAGTGGAGTAAATCAGAAAAAATCAGAAATCTAATTTCAGTATGTGTTTCATTATAGATCACTAGAATGTGCATATCTTAAATCTGTCTAGATTCTTAAGACAACATTTGCATAAATTTGTATTGTTTATTCACAGGTGCCAATAACAAGACAAGAAAATGAATTATTTACTGCCATTTTCTCTTACTCTGTTTGGTACGTATCAAAACAGTCATTCCACACAGTATTATATACATGCAAGAGTATTAATACATTTTTATATAAATGTTCATATGTGCATCATATATACAGCAAGACAGTGAAGAAAAAATGATTAAAATTAGTCATTTATTAAGTAGTCTGGAAAAAGTATAAATTCCTTTGGTAACCCTTCTTCAGGACAGGTGCAATTATTTTTGGCTACACAGGTGAAGATACATTTTCCAACCCACCTCCCAAAAGAAATGCATCTTTACCTGTGTGTCTCTTAATCCTCCTCTTGAATTTCTTACCCTTTTTGTGTTTCTAATCCCTTGTTTTCAATGTATTTCCCCTTTAGTGTATCTTATCTTTAATGTATCTGTGTCTAACACCGATCAGGTATATTTTATGACTCTATTTTTCCCTTTGTGTATCTTACACCCCCCTGGTATATTTTATCCTTCAGTTGCCCCTTGTGTATCTTACAAACCTTCTTGTGTTCCCCAGCCGCTTTTGTGAGTCTTATCCTCAGCCTCTAAGGCAACAAGTGCATCCATAACAGCAACAATAATGCAGAGTCAGCACAATCATAAGGACAGGCCCGTCGCTACCTGGCAGGCAAACCAAGCAATTGCTTGGGGCCCCCGAGCTGGCACGGGGTCCCCAAGCAGAGCAAGTGCTTCCTATAAGGCTGCAGCCGCCTGAGCGCTCTATAGAGAGCCTCAGACGGCTGCAACACTCCTCTCTCGTCACCTCCCCTTCCCTGTAGCGTGGCAGAGCTTCTCTTCCTCCTGGCTGTCAGCCTGCCGGGTACCGCGAGGTACAGGAGATTCAGTTTCCTGTTCCCAGCCGGACTGAAAGGAAGTGAGCACTCAGTGTGCACTTCCTGTCAGAAAAAACACACAGAATAGATAAAGAGTAAAAGAACCCTCTCCATTCCGTGAGATAGTAGTGCAGCGCTGTATAATAACATTTAGAAACTCACCCTATTGAAATCTGTTGGGTGGTTCAGCTCGGTTTTACATATATACAAAGAAAAACACAAATGGAGACTATATAGTGCAGAGTTGTTGTGGAAAATAAATGAAATTTTCTGTAAAGTAACAAACTCACATGCTAATGAGCCTTTTCAAGAATAGGCTCCAAACTCTTCAGCAAGTATGTTTAGGATAACATACAACCCCCTTTTAAATCTTCTCAAAATGTACCTTCCGATGTATGGCAGAGAAAAGGGAAACACAAAGCGATACACACTCTAAGTGAGATATGTAAGCACAAGACGGACTGTTTAAAAATACAGAATGTGCTCACCTGGCTCAGAGCCTTCCAAACTGGCTCTGAGTATATAGATTTGCGTCAAATACAGGGTGACAGCTCACTTTAGAACCAAGGCAACACTGGAAACTGGATCCACTCATTGTAAAAATGCACAAAAAGTGATTGTTTAATGTAAGGTAAGAAATAAAATAAATACAATATAAAATACAATATATAAAAAAAGTGTGGATCCTCCGAAACACGTTTCACCTATCCTGTAGGCTTTTTCAATCGGCAGGTTAAGATACATTTTGCCACCCAACTCCCAAAAGAAATGCATCTTTACCTGTGTGTCTCTTAATCCTCCTCTTGAATTTCTTACCCTTTTTGTGTTTATAATCCCTAGTTTTCAATGTATTTCCCCTTTAGTGTATCTTATCTTTAGTGTATCTGTGTCTAACACTGCTCAGGTATATTTTATGACTCTATTTTTCCCTTTGTGTATCTTACACCCCCCTTGTATATTTTATCCTTCAGTCCCCCCCCCTTGTGTATCATACAACCCTTCTTTGTGTTTCTCTTATGTTCCCCCAGCCCTTTTTGTGAGTCTTATCCTCAGCCTCTAAGGCAACAAGTGCATCCATAACAGCAACAATAATGCAGAGTCAGCACAATCATAAGGCCAGGCCCATCGCTACCTGGCAAGCAAACCAAGCAATTGCTTGGGGCCCCGAGCTGGCCCTGGGCTCCAAACAGAGCCGGTGCTTCCTATATGGCTGCAGCCGCCTGAGCACTCTATAGAGAGCCTCAGGCAGCTGCAACACTCCTCTCTCGTCACCTTCCCTTTCCTGTAGCGTGGCCGAGCTCCTCTTCCTCCTGACTGTCAGTCTGGCCGGGTACCGCGCGGTACAGGAGATTCAGTTTCCTGTTCCCGGCCGAACTGAAAGGAATTGAGCACTCAGTGTGCACTTCCTGTCAGTCCGGCCGGGAACAGGAAACTGAATCTCCTGTTACTGCGCGGTACCCGGCCGGACTGACAGCCAGGAGGAAGAGGAGGTCGGCCACACTACAGGGAAGGGGAGGTGAGAAGAACATGTGGGGGAGTAAAAAAACATAGGGAGGGGGAGTAAAAAAAACATAGGAGGAGTAAAAAAAACTCCACTGCTGTTGTATACCTTTAGCATCCTCTAAGTGATTGCAGCCCGGTGTGTGTTACTGGCGAGGGAAGCAGCCGATCTCTTGATCGGGACTGCTCAGGCTATTCTACTAAACACGCAGCCCCCTACTTCCCTATTCCCCAGGCTGGTGGGGGTTATCCCAGTCCCCACCAAGCAGTGTATACTCACATTCCAGATGCCCCTGGGTGAATCTAGCACGGATGAATCCCGCGTGGCCTGTATAAAATGGCCAACGTCAGCATTTCCATAAAGCAAGCTACACAGTATATGGCTCGAAGCTGGGAGGAGAGGTTCCACAGAGAGTTTGATGGCATCTGTCAGAGGTTTTGGCGGAACATGGAGAGGAGACAATCTGCGCTGACAGCTACTTCAGTTGAACCTGCTTGCACACTGTGACAGATCCCTCTGTCTTGGACTTACATGGAACTACTATTCATTCGTTTGTTTGGTTCGTGCTTTTCCCCGTTTGTGTGGACTCTATATGCTTCCCTGAAACTACCGAACAAACTCCCGAACGGCCGGCCACCCAGTAGAGAAGCGTGCTGCTGGTTAACCTCTTGGCCCCATTAGAACGTTGAGGTTAACCGCAGACACCCCTTAATTGGTGACTGCAGGGGGGTGTCCGCCATTCGTATCCCGAACACAAGGTCACGGCCATTTTAAAATCCACGAACGCTCAGCGGTGTTCGACGACAAACTCATGGAACTCAAAACGGACACTATTTGGCACGAACACCGCTGAAGCCACCGACCTCCCTTCTCCTTCGGTAAAGACTCACGAACGTCCCTGTGTTTAGTACTTTGCTCACAAATAAGCCATACCCCAGATAGCCATCCCGTGGAGCCCATTCGTATGAAAAACAGACTTTGTGAACACTTTGACTGCACGGCGATTGGACTGTGTGTATAGGATCTGAGCGCTATTCGGTACTTTTGTGCGCTCAGATCCCAGCTATCTGGGTACCCGTTGAATGCCTGTGTTATGTCCCATTACTGGGAAGTTATGTATTTTTAAGCACATTTGCAATTGTCACTTAAAATGGCGTTTAGTCTTTGACCAGGGAGATAATTTAATTATTTCACAATTATCTCCCGAGCAGAGCAGAGGGTCTTGGGTAACTAAAGGGAAGGGCTATGCGTGTAACACTCTGATTGGTAATTGTAATGTCCTTGTCACAGTCTCCCATTTGGTCCCCATGGGGAGTGTCCACCAGGTGGGAGACTGTGGCAGGTAGCCCACATTAAACCAGATTCCTGCTGACCCTCAATACGGAGCTTTGTCTCATCATTGGGGGGGATTATTCGTATGGATTGCGCTTGTTTGGCTGTTTGGAAGACTGATGGTTCGTGTAATTGCTGTTTGGCAGTTTGGAGCGCCTAGTAGCTACCTCTGCATTCGGGAAGGGAACGTCCTACACGGCAGTAACCCCTTTCCTACCGGGGGAGCCGTAACACACACCTTTTCTCGCAAAAATACCACTAGAAAGCCTGCCCACCGAACTCCCACTCGGAAGTCTGTCTGCAAGACTCCTGCGCTGAAGCCCCCTCCCGACCTCATCAGGCCACATACAGCCCAAGTGGACAAGAAGCTCTACGCTCTCGAGGACTGTGTCTGGGGGTGGAAGGAGGGCATCGGAGCGAGCTGTGTAATCCCTGGCAGACCCGATAACCACATGCACCTGCTTAGATCTTGTCTGCTTGCCAAGGACATCGGATGAGCAGCCCTTGGATCTGGGGCTGCCTGATCCCCTAGTGCCTCTCCTATCCTTCTAGGCTCTGAGCCTTTCTCTAACCTCGGATTAACTGCGGTCTTACCCTATTCCTCTCCTGTTCTGTCGCCTATTAAAAATGTCATGACTACCACCTTGGGCCCAGTGAAAAAACTTTGGTGGCTTCACTGTCATCTACTAAATCTACCTGTGTAGTTAGATCAAACAATCTCAGCACTCTTACCCTACTTTGCACTAACTCATCTGTTAGTAATAACATCTGTTTCCATTATGTCTTACTCTTGTGCTTTACACTAATGTTCAGCAACCAACACTTGTCTAGACAGTTAACCCTCTGTAAGATTTATCTCAGTTTAATAGATAGACATGTATACCTTACTCGAGTTCTCTATATACCCAAAAATTGTGCAAATTTCGTATGTCACATCATTGTTTCAATATGCAATTGTCTCCTTATTTATTCTGATACGCTTGCAATGGATGTTGTGGCATTGCCTGCCTGTATGTAATACCTTTGCACAACAAAAATAAACCAGACTCTTCTGGTAAATTGTATAACTCCATATAAATATTTTCAAAGGCTCTACCTATTTGTCCTGGGGCCAGTAAATATTTATCTTTATCTAAAATTTTAGATATAACTCTTGTTTTTTGCTTTTTTCAATATGTCATTAGTGTCTCAGGTTTGTTGCCTTTATAGTACCATTTATATTGAAAATATTCTAACGTTCTAGCTTCTTTATGAATTAAATGAACGTTTTTGTGTTTTTCTATGTCTCAATCTTACCTTACAATGCCTCATTCTGTCTCAAGTGAAATTGCCACTAACTTTAACAGGTGTCCTCTCACTAAACTTTTAAATGCACACCATAATTTAACGTCTGACATCTTAATTTGCATTTTCTAAAACATATTTATAATTTTTTTCAATTTTTTCTATATTTTTTTTTTTTGAGGAGTATCATCCAATCTCTGGTCTTTTTGAAAAAGATTAAACGCATCTTTATAATTTAACAAAATTGGACTGTGATCTGACCGTGTTTTTTTTTTTTAATTCTTTATTTTCATGCGAGCGTTAAACCTTCATACGTGTATTACCACAACAGTAGAAACACGCTTTTGGAAACATTACATAGTACTTACAAGGTATGGAAAAGGTACATTTTGCACACATTTTTTGGTTATTGTGGGCTGATGCATGCAGCTTGCATGCAGCCAAGTGCCAAAGGGTGGGTGAAGTATCTAGCGTCGAGCAGGATTTCCTACTGTAGTAGCAGAGCCCCAGCTCTGTATCCAGGGCTAGAGGTTGTAAGAGCACTTGATGGCACCCTATGCATTTTTCTGGTGAGTTACAGGTCCAAACCTTGCAATAAATCTGCCTGGAAGCAATCACAGTGAGTGCCTGAGATTTGAAGAAGAATGCCTACTCACCTGCAAGGAGAAAACATCTCTTGATACTGTACCTCACAGGATAATAAACAAATCACACTGAATATTCAAACTATCTGGGTCCTTGATGAACAAATAATGCACCTACTTCATATCTTATCTACCTAAAACTAAAATATGGTTGCCACACTGTTAACTCCTTTTTACCTGTTAATACTTATAAACTGCAAACCAGTGGGAAGACAAATTTAAAATTTTAGTTTTAAAATGTGTTAACATAATATTATGTTAAAAACCTAAAAAACAAAAGGTCTTCACTATTTGTTGGGGGAATGATAGGGGCTGTCGAGCTTTTTTTTACGGGTTTCACATGTTTCACCTATGGACAGTAGTGACTCCAGGTGTGTCATGTTTTTATGTATGAAACCCAAAATGCAGTACTTATAGATATTAAAATGAAAGCAAAGTCCAAGCACAACAAAGAATTGAGACAAATTGATATGGACTCATGTATTTCAGTCCTAGTTTCTTGTTTAGACAGGGCAACTTCAAGTGCTTGGCAGATAACCATACTTTTTCTTCTACATGCTATTTGGAAGTAGGACTGCATCTCTTGTCGGCATAGAGTTCATACTTCTTCTGTGACTCTTGTAGGATGATTTCAGTGCATGGAAATTCCCTATAGAGATCACGGGTGAATTGTTCGACTTCAGACAGGACTTATGATGGGTTAATCAGGGAACATGACTGGATGATTATTATTTTTTGGGGGGGGAATTTATATAGCGCCAACTTATTCCGCAGTGCTTTACAATATTATAAAAGGGGAAAATGTAACAATATATTAGATGGAGACCAAATGTTACAGGAGAAGTAGGTTAATGAAGACTCTCTGTTTAGACAAGCTTGTAGTCTAGATGGGGTTGGTTTTCAAAATACAATAGGAAGGGCACTGACCATAATTGACGTAGAAAGGAGAATTATGATGAGAACTGTGCATGTGCAAATTATAAGCAAATTCTGCTGCCAGTCATTTAGTAAATGAGTTGTATAACATTGTGGATATTGTTGAAGCGTCTGGCTCTTTCGGTCTGACCGTTCGTGTGGGGGTGGAAGGTAGTGGACAGTCAAATTTGTACAAGTTTACAGAACAATCTCAAAAATTGGAACTGAAGGTCTCTATCAGACAGAATCAAGCTAGGTGCACCATGCAATTTGAACATTTTTTTTGTAGAAAATCACTGCTGTCTGTGTTCCTTTATCTGCAAGGAAATTAGCCATTTTAATCAATCTGTCAACTACCATCATAATAGTGGTAATATGGACTGTGATCTGTGAACAGGGACAAGGCCTGGGAAGGGTTGTAATAAACCATCTGGACAAGTAGGAAGGTCTTTGGACCTGGAACAGACAGAGCATTGTTCCACATTAAGGGTCACCAAAATGATCGTTGTACCGAGTCATAGGTCTGTCTCATGCTTCTGTAACCAGAGATCAAGGTATCATGGCACTCGAACAGGACTTCATTGGGGGAGGATTGGGTATGGTGGTCTCTTGTGAAAGTCTTTGGATTTTTTCCAATAGAAGAGAATGGGTTGCCAGTAAATGTCCTTTGTGTAATATAGTTTTGGTTGGTTCAACTGTTGAATTGATTGGCCAGAGTATATGAGACAAAGCGTCAGCTTTCCCAATTTTAGAACTTGGACAGTATGTGATGTGAAACTGGAAGCAGGGGGAGAAAGGTCTCAACTTGCTTGTCTTGGACAGAGTCTACATTATAATCTGAAGTATTCAAGTTTGCAGTGATCAGTGTATATGGTGATTGGATTGGAGGCACTTTCCAATAAGTATTGGAGACATTCTCCCAAAGCACTCTTGATAGCTAGGAGTTCTTTATCGCCTATATCTTAATTAGCTTCAGCAGAACTTAATCTCTTAGAGTAAAAGACAACATGGTGTAGGTGGTCGTCGATCTCGCCTCTCCGTGACAATATGGCTCCGGTGGCTACTTCAGAAGCATCAACCTCCATAAAATATGGTTTTAAAGGAACGCATAGAGTGGGGGTAGGTGCGGATTAGATGCTTAAGTTCATCGACCATTGGAACGTGATGTGGCTTTTATTGAAAGTTGTCAATGGATGGACCACTCATGTAACACATCCTGTAGAAGCTAGCAAAATGAAGAAATCTTTGTATTACCTTTTTGTTCACAGCTGTAGGCCAATTCATATTTGCTTAAACTTTACAAGAATCTATATCAAAGTGGCCAGGAGTCAGGACCTAGCACAAGAATTCTATCCGTGTGGTCTCAAAGATGCATTTTTCCAGTTTTTCGTGTAGGTGGTACTGATGTAGTCTGCCAAGAAGTGTACATATATGACGACGATGGGTCTCTATATCAGGAGAGGATATCAGAATATCATCCAGGTACATCACTATTTATTGCTCAAGCAAGTTCCTGAAGATATCGTTAACAAAATGTTGAAAGATGGCGGGGACATTACATAGTCCATAGGACATGACCAGATACTGAAAGTAACCATACTTGGTTTTGAGTGCGTTTCTCTATTCATTCCCACTCTTAACAGGAGTAAGTTAAAGGGCCTCTCATAGGTTGCATTTGGTATATGCAGATGCAGTTTTGAGTCTGAATGGAACAGGTGCTCTGGGAAGCACATCTATGGGACATATGTCTGGTGTGGTGGTAGTGTGCCTACTCCTTTTTTGTCAAACACATCACTGTATTTCATGTAAAGATAAGGAAGATAGATTTCTGGACTGTGCTTATTACCATCTAAAATAGTGTTGATGTGTACTACCAGGAAGGACCTGGATAGACACTTTTGTCCACAATAAGGGGAATGCAAAGGACACCGTTAATCCCACAAATAAGAGGGTTGTGTATTTTCAACCATGGCAACCCCAAAATAATGGGAATTAATGGAGAGGCTACCAGGTGAAACTGTAAAATTCCTTCATGACCAATAGTTAGTGGACTTTGCCGGCACACCATGTCTGGATTGTATGTATTGTTTTCTCATAAAATGTCCAGGGTCTGCATACACGGAGAATACCTGGAAGATATGCATCGCAAATTCAGAGGTTCACAGAGTCTCTCCTGCAGGCTGCCTCTAAAGACTGCTAACTTCAGCACACCACAACATGCACTTGTAATGTCAGGGGAATAGAAGAGCATTGTGATGTTATGGGATATAATTTCAAAGCTAGAACAAAAACCGTGGAACCACGTTTTCCCCATTACGGCTAAATTTTAACCTGGATTCTAGAAATGACTTCAAGGACATGAGTCCTGTATTTGTAAATAAATTCTAAGAGAATGAAATTATTGATTAAGAAGCTCCGTGTCCAAACCAAAATTCCATCATTGACAATAGTATTCCATATTCTTGTGCAGGCATCTGGATCATTTCCTCCATGTAGGCTCATGTTGGCTTCAAGACAAATTTACATATCTCTGATACTTGTTATAGAGTAGGAGAACCACCAAGAAAATAATTTAGTTCTATTTTTACATTGTTGGTGGAACACTGGGTTACCAAGTATAGGTTTCATTATTGAACTATGGATCGAAAGACCATCTCTATAGTTACACCTACACCAAAGTTTATGTGTTTCATCTGTATTTGGCAACATATATAGTAAATATATTTTGTTCATATGGACCCAGGGTAGGGATTGCAAGCACAAAGGCAGGCAAACTGAATCCTCAGCCTCAACCCAACAAATCTTCAACAAGTTCTACTTTAATGCCTATGCAAACAGAGCTGATCTCTAGTAAAAAGATGCACTAGGAACCCCCAAACCTTCATGGTGTACAGCAAGATAAAAGGATATGAGTGAGTAGTTATAGGTATATAACTTGAACATTAATAGAAGAGTAAGACAAGAAACCTCTGAATCTGTGTGTGTGTAGTGGCCTTTTAATATTTGAAAACTCTGAAATTATCTGGTATATACAAGGAAGTGAAACATTTGCATAAATTACACAAAGTAGAATATTATTCTTGAATAGCTTGATTTTATATTCTGAAGTGCCACATATTATTCCTCTTACGTCACCATTATTTCTTTTAGTGCACACCAAAGGTTCAATACAAATTGCAAATAGTGATGAAGATCAGGAGCAGCTTTGTCTCGTGTCATTTCATACTGGTATAGGTGAAGATAAGACTCCCAAGGTGAAAAACTTACCAAGGCTCTTGTCAGCCGATGTAAATCTGTCTGGGAGTCTGATTTCTTTCAAAACCTCCCACAAAACCTTCCAATCCACTCTATCCAATGCATCTGCATCTAAACCAAGAATGATTGGTTTCTCCTATCATTAAGAGAAGAATCACATTATTAACGGAAAGACACTTCAAATTGTGTCCAGCAGAAAACAATTAGCTAAAAAGCCAACTGGATCCTGGTGAACCAGAGAAGGAAGAATGGGTCTCAGGCGGTAAGATACAATTGTATCAAAAATCTTCATGTCTAGGTTAATAAGAGTACTATACTAAGAGCAAGTAGTACTATCTTTGCCTTATTTTGGCAAAGCTTCAATGCTCTCTTCCAACATCTCTTTTGGAATCAATACATAGTTGAACAATGTTAAAAGTCTAGGCACAATCAGGTGACGGAAACATTTATAAAAAGTTATCGTAAAGACATTCAGAGCTTGGCTTTGTTTTTTTTAGAGTTTCAACATGTTAAATAACTCCTTCATAGTTTCGTCAAAGGTGGCTCAAAAACTATGGGCATTACAATTTGCCATCCATGGTCCACTGTTTTGCCACTGTAAAGATATTTATAATAATCTACAATTTGTTTGGCTGTGCCAATTGGGTCCACTACTCTGTCTTGTATTAAAACTCTTAAAGTTCTTTACTTATATTGGTAAACTCTGTGTAGAAGAATGTCTGTTACCACTGGTAATCTTCTTATGATTGATTGGACCATTAATTATTCTGCTTTGCAATAACATACACATATGTCATGTCTGCATTTGCCGTATATACTTTTGGATTGATACTTGATTTCGAGGATTTAGAAATTATGTTTTAAGAGAGTGTTGTTAATTTTGACCACTTTGATTGTATAAAGTTTTCCTTTAATTGCAAACTACTTTTTGGCTCACCCATAGGAGTTAAAAAGATCCAAAACACTAACGAATTAGTAACATATAATAGTTGAACTTTGCAATAATAATTCATCATCGGCCATTATATTTGTCTGCCCCTTATCCATTGTTATCACTTTTATTGTATTTGAAGTTTTAGCATTACAATATTAACACGTGTACCTCTTTATTATATTCTAGTATTTCAGACAGCATGTGGACAGAAAATTACCCTTTTCACAGCCTGTATATCTGGGGCTGGTCCCAAGTTGCGGTTGGACTGCCGATACCAGAACATAACAAACAATCAACTGCGTTATGAATTTCGGGTGAAACGTGAACGAGAACTGATCATTGACACTACAATGAACCTTAACTTCTTTAGTGAGAAATACCATAACCGGGCCAGCACTTTCCTATCACGTGGTTTGGTTCAGCTTCATCTTGAGCGCTTCAATGCCTCCGATGTGGGCCTTTACATATGTGCCCTGAATATTCCTAATGACTTGACCATTAATCAGACAGCCAGGGTTAGTGTTCAGAAAGGTAAGAGGACAAGAAATCTGCTGAACATTAATGGAAATGCATCTATAATGTATGTAGCGGAAAGGTGCCAAAATAACTTGTGAAATAAATATTAGCAGTAGTTTTGACTGTTCCATTTTAAGTAGCTTTTTTAAAAAGACTTTTGCAGTATTGTACATTTTAATCCTGGCTCTTCTATCCCATTTCCCTGTTCTAAAATACTTTCTTTTTAAAGATTACATTTTAAAAACAAATTTAGTTTGGAAAAACGGCACCTCAGAGGGAGTATGATAACATTATACAAATATTTTCAGAGGCCGGTACAAACCATTGTGTGGAAATCTATTCATAAACAGAACTATACATAGGACACGGGGCCATGCATTTAGACTGGAAGAACAGAGATTTAGTCTAAGGCAAAGAAACATTTTTTTACAGTAAGAATAAGAAGGATGTGGAATTTTCTGGCTGAAGAGGTGGTTTTATTTACCATGCAGATGTTTGAACAGCAATTGGATAAGTACTTCCAAAAACATAATATGCAAGGATATAATTTCTAATTAGTGGGTTAATTAATTCTCTCCCCTCAATGTACCTTTCAACCAATCATAACTCCCCCTGCCCTATCCTTTCCTTCTTTTGAAGTTCACACTGTCTGCCCATTTAAACCCACTCCTTTAAGAATTGCTATCATCCACCACCCCCCTCCCTCCCCCCCCCTGGTTATCATAGACTATTCATTGAGCATTTTTCTTCCTGGCTTCCCCACTTCCTCTCATCTAGCACTCCTTACCTTATACTTGGGGATTTCAATATCCCAATCAATAACCCCAATTGCACTGATGCCTCTCGTCTGCTCTCTGTAACCTCCTCCTTTGGCCTTATGCAATGGTTCAATTTAGCAACCCACACAGCAGGAAACACTCTTGATCTTGCCTTCACCAACCTCTGTACTGCCTCTAATCTCTCCAATATTCCTTTTCCTCTATCTGACCACCATCTGCTGACTTTTGACATTGGCATACCTAAGACCCAATTGACACCACCGTCTGAACATCACTCTCACAGAAACCTCCAATGTCTTGACCTAGAGCATTTCTCCACTAATCTCCAAACTCTCCTTTTACCTATCTCAAACCTCACCTGTCCTAGTTCTGCAACCTCCTTCTACAATTCCACCCTCTCCTCTCAACTAGACATCATGGCACCTTGTACATTTAAATGCTGCAGGCTCCTCCAACAACAATCCTGGCACACCAAGCTCACTCGATACCTCCAAAAATGCTCCAGAACTGCTGAACTCTGTTGGAGAAAGTCTCACTGTGCCTCTGACTTTCTCCACTATAAATTTATGCTGAGCTCATACAGCTTGGCTCTTTCCTCTGCAAAAGTTAATTACTTCAATACCCTCATAACCACACTCTCCCGCGAACCCGAACGACTATTTCACACATTTAACTCTCTTCTTTGCCCTGCTGTTCCTCCTCCACCTACTAACTTGACCGCCTCAGACTTTGCAACTCACTTCACTGACAACATCTCTACAATCAGAGAAGAGATTTCTCATCTTTCTTCTTCCCCTTACAACACTTCCCCTAACTTCATTCCCTCTGCTGTTCTATGTTCATTTGCACCCGCTACATTGGAAGAGGTTTCTGCTCTACTCCAGTCCTCCTGCCCCACCACCTGCTCCCTAGATCCAATTCCCTCACATCTCATCCGTACTCTGTCTTCTGCTCTTTCTCCACCTCTCACTAAAATTCTCAATCTCTCTCTCTCCTCTGGTATATTTCCATTGCCCTTCAAACATGCAACTGTAACCCCAATTCTAAAGAAGCCCAATCTTGACCCTAACTCCCCATCCAACTATCGTCCTATCTCGCTACTGCCTTTTGCATCCAAGATCCTTGAAAAAATTGTGTATGCGAGATTGACAGACTTCCTCGAGTCCAACTCTCTGCTAGACCTGCTTCAGTCTGGTTTCCGTGCTAAGCACTCTGTGGAAACGGCACTGACTAAAGTATCCAATGATCTACTCGCTGCAAAATCTCGTGGTCACTACTCTATCCTAATTATCCTTGACCTGTCTGCGGCTTTTGACACGGTTGATCATCAACAGCTTCTTCTCATCCTCCGCAATATCGGTCTACAAGATATTGCTCTCTCCTGGTGCTCCTCCTACCTCTCCCAGTGCTCTTTCAGTGTTTTTTCTCTGGCTATGCTTCTTCTCCCCAACTCCTCTCTGTTGGTGTCCCCCAAGGTTCAGTCCTTGGTCCCCTACTGTTCTCCATCTATACTGCCTCCCTTGGTAAACTCATTAGCTCCTTTGGCTTCCAATATCATTTCTATGCAGATGACACGCAAATCTACCTGTCCTCTCCTGATCTCTCCCTGTCCCTCTTGACTAGTGTCTCTGACTGCCTCTCCGCTGTTTCTAACTGGATGGCTGCCAACTTCCTTAAACTAAACTTGACCAAAACTGAAATTCTGGTCTTTCCTCCCTCAAGTGTTGTTACTCCTGTGTCTGTCTCCCTCCAAGTCAACGGTGCTACCATCAGCTTCACCACGCAGGCTCGCTGCCTAGGTGTTCTCTTTGACTCCTACCTCTCCTTCAAGCCTCATGTTCAATCTATCCTGTCATTTCCATCTCAAAAACATTGCGTGCATCCACCTCTACTTAACGCCAGATGCGACTAAGGTGTTGGTCCATTCCACTTTACTTTCTCGCCTTGACTTCTGTAATCCGCTTCTCAGTGGTGTTACGTGCTCCCAACTTGTGCCGTTACAGTCCATAATGAATGCGGCGGTGAGGCTCATCTTCCTGTCCGCCTGCACCTCCCATGCCTCACTCTTCTGTCAGTCCCTACATTGGCTTCCTATAAAATATAGAGCTCCCACCTATCTATCCTCCCTTATACACAAGTATGTCCCGTCTAGGCCCTTACGATCTGCTGAAGACTTACGTCTATCTTCTCTCCGTACTCCCACCTCTGATGCTCGCCTTCAAGATTTCTCGAGGGCTGCACTGTTCCTGTGGAACTCTCTTCCCTCCTCCGTTAGATGCTCACCCAGTCTCTACTCCTTCAAAAAATCGTTAAAAACCCACTTCTTCATAAAAGCGTATCAATTAAACTGTTAATAGCTCCTGACTGATTCCTCTTCTGCAACTGTCACTACTCTAATACTATCCTTACCTTTTTGTGTCATTTTACCCCACTCCCTCTAGCATGTCCTCAACCCCTCTGTTCCTGTGTGTCCAACTTGTCTGGTTACAACTACATGTCTGTTCGTCCACCCATTGTAAAGCGCTGCGGAATTTGATGGCGCTCTATAAATATCATAATAATAATAACTAATTGATCCAAGAAGATATATGACTACTATTTTGGGGTCAAGAAGGAATTTTTTCCAAGTTTGTTGCAAAATTGTAAGCACTGCAGATGTTTTTTTTTTTGTCTTCTTCTGGATCAATAGCAAAAACATATGTGAACCTGATGGATGCATGTCTCTTTTCAGCTGTGTAACTATGTAACTTATTATTGTGCATGATTATATCACAGCTCTGTTTCTGCCCTCCATCCTAACATGCAGTATTTAGTAACAAAGCTGTACACTTCATCTTGAGACACATGAAAGGTTTCTGGGAGTTTCAGATCAGTTAAAAAAATTTATAAGTAGAACACTAATAACTAAGCTATAGGATTTAGAAATCCCAGGTCTGTACAGAATTAAGGGTCTACTATCTACTAGTCAGTCCATCGTCCTACAATATATTCGGGGATATAGACAGTTTACAGATTTATTATATGTGATGGGAACACAGATGCAAGAAATCTGTGATCAGGCTAGTAACTGTAAAATGTATAATATCTGCAAAGAGAATTAAAAAGCTTTTCCCCAATCTGCACTTTAATCCTTGCAGTGCCAAGTTAACCATGTCCAACATTTTTGACCCCATTGACCAGAATGAGAGGCACGTGACTGGCAAAGCCATCCGAAGAGTTAGTAGAGCTCAGGGCTTGTGCAGTAATGTCTAAGGATTGCTACATGCTGTAAAATTAAAAGAAATTGATCATTTTAAATATGGTATGTGTTGTAATATGTCTTTGTACATATTTCAAATCAGTTATCTATATTAAGCATGGAAAAAGTGAGTCCACCCGGTAAAGTGTGCTAAAGTGTCCCAAAATAATAATGCCAGTGACATATAGTGCAATTGTGAGCAGGCAGATGGAGAGATAGACACAGACTGCCTTGCTGTTCTGGTGTCATACTAAATGTATATTTATATTTCATGATTCTCACATTTAATGTGTGCTCTGACTTTTTATTTTCACAGACAAACTAGAACGATGTGGAGGAGTAAGCACCTTTAATCTAAGCTCATCATGGCCCCTTGTCCTGCTCCTCACTTTGCCTTTGCTCCAAGCTGGTGGGTTTCTTTATCTCTGAAGATCATATTATATTGGTCTGGTCAGTGTCCCAGAGATGTGATGGGAACAACCCCGTATTACTGCATGGCTTCCACACTCTTCTTAGCATCAATCACCAAATGCCTTTTATCTGGACCCCTTTTTGGTAGAAGAAATTGGGCAAAAAATAAATCAAACCTGCTCATTCACAATTCCTTAAAATGAAAACTGTAATCACAGCAATAGTTGTTGATTTTGCCATCACCACTAAAGAATTATTTATGGTCAATACACTATTTGTGTTGTTTATGAAGTCTAATTGTTGTATAGTCATCTTTGTAAGAAAAAATTCACTGGGTCAACCAACATCTTCTACATTGCCAATTTTCACTTTAAAAAATAGTTGGGTTTTATTTTTTTGATGGTGAGTGAAAATGGCAGAAATTAAACATTTATGCTCCCTGTTTCAATTAAATATTTTGTCTTGTAAAATGTAAGATAACTGTATTTGGGAATGAGTAGCATTAAATCTTGACCTTTAATATACTTCAGATAATTTCGAATACACACTGAAGGAAACCAGTTGCTTAAAACTTAGCTTTCACATGGAATGATTTCATATAATAAGTATGTATAGCAAGTGTTTTACATTTTTACAGAAACTAACATTGAACTCTAACTAAAAACTTAAAGGACCACTATAGGCATCTAGACCACTACAGCTCAATTAAGTGGTCTGGGTGCCAGGTTGCCCTGGTTTTAACCCTGCAGCTGATAACATAGCAGTTTCTAGTGGCCATCTCCCTTACTAGAGGCCTCTTCCGCAACGCTCAATCGCACTGAACTCACGTTGGACGTCCTCACGGAGTCCAGCTTCAAATAAAATCCCCATAGGAAAGCATTGAGTAAAGCATTGCGCATTCGGCTCTACTCGGGAGATGACGTCAGCAGGGGGAGGAGAGGTCACCAGCACCGAGGGAGCCCGGCGCTGGATTAAGATACGTGGCTGAAGGGGTTTTAACACCTTTAACCCAGCAGGAGGAGGGCCCGAGGGAGGGGGGGACCTATTAACCCAATAGTGCCAGGAAACGGGTTTGTTTTCCTGGCACTATAGGATCCATTTAAAGGCGGGCAATGTTTTTGCCCTAAAAATGCATGATCTCTCTCTCATTATTCGTTTAATGTGCCCACATGTTATCTGCCTAAAGGAACACGCCAAGCAGCATAAACCCTACAGCGCCTCCTCACAGCGAGAAGCTCTCTGTGCGCTGTGTGGTGCTGAGCTCATTGGCTGAGAGCAATCAGCTTAAATTCTCAGCCAATGAGCTGTCCCTGCACGGTCGGGATTAGTTCAGGAAGGCTAACGAAAGTTACTAGCAAGCGTTTCTGGCTCTCACTTTTGGCTGTGAGGAGCTAGGCAGACTACAGGTCAAACTGTTCTTAAATTGTTTGATTACTTGCCCTGACAGTGGTGCCACTATTTGGTGCTGAAGTGGTTATGGTGCTTGGAGTGGTCCTTTATTTAATTTAACAATTAACAATATACTTTTACTCAGTAGCTAACTTTTTTCTCTATCAGGCCGCAATAAAAAAAATCTGTCAAGTTTAGTAATAGACAGAAATGGATAAAATATGATAATCGAAAAGAAGCATCTTTAAAGTGCTTTGTTAGCCATGATAATTAAGAGAATGAGAGTACAGCCAATATATTTAAGACTTTAAAAAAATTATGTAGCCTTAAAGATATTTTAAAAAGACCATTATATTACACAAGCTGCACTAATGTACCTATTAGATCTTCTTTCTCATTTCTGTGACCTGATTCTATGAGTTCTAGTAACAACTGCCATGCAGATTTCTAAAATCTTGTAAAGAATTCCTTAAACTGATACTTCACATACAAATGGAGCAAAGTCCCTCGACAATCCAATGGAAATGTCATATAAAACTGTAAAATAAATAGGTGTGCAGTCAGTAACCATAACCAGTACTCAAATAGAAATGATAAAATCAACATACAGTGAGGGTAAAAAGTATCCCCTGCTGATTTTGAATGTTTGCCCACTGACAAAGAAATGATCAGTCTATCATTCTAATGGTACGTGTATTTAAACAGTGAGAGACATAATAACAAAACAAAAAAAAATCCAGAAAAATGCATGTTATAAAAGTTATAAATTGATTTGCATGTCAATGAGTGAAATAAGTATTTGATCCCCTATCAATCAGCAAGATTTCCAAGGTGTCTTTTATACAGGTACAAGCTGAGATTAGAAGCACTCACTTAAAGGGAGTCCTCCTAATCTCAGTTTGTTACCTGTATAAAAGGCACTTGTCCACAGAAGGAATCAATCAATCAGATTCCAAACTCTCCACCGTGGCCAAGACCAAAGAGCTGTCCAAGGATGTCAGGGACAAGATTGTAGACTTACACAAGGCTGGAATGGGCTACAAGACCATCGCCAAGCAGCTTGGTGAGAAGGTGACAACAGTTGCGTTTATTCGCAAATGGAAGAAACACAAAATAACTGTCGGTCTTCCTTGGTCTGGTGCTCCATGCAAGATCTCACCTTGTGGAGTTTCAATGATCATGAGAACGGTGAAGAATCAGCCCAAAACTACACGGGAGGATCTTGTTAATGATCTCAAGGCAGCTGGGACCAAAGTCACAAAGGAAACAATTGGTAACACACTACGACATGAAGGACTGAAATCCTGCAGCGCCTGCAAGGTCCCCCTGCTCAAGAGAGCACATGTACAGGCCCGTCTGAAGTTTGCCAGTGAACATCTGAATGATTTAGAGGACAACTGGGTTAAAGTGTTGTAGTCAGATGAGACCAAAATCGAGCTCTTTGGCATCAACTGAACTCGCTGTGTTTGGAGGAGGAAGAGTGATGCCTATGACCCCAAGAACACCATCCTCACCATCAAACATGGAGGTGGAAACATTATGCTTTGGGGGTGTTTTTCTGCTAAGGGGACAACACAACTGCACTGCATCAAAGGGATGATGGAAGGGGCCATGTACCGTCAAATCTTCTGTGAGAACCTCCTTCCCTCAGCTAGCGCATTGAAAATGGGTGGTGGATGGGTATTCCAACATGACAATGACCCAAAACATACAGCCAAGGCAACAAAGGAGTGGCTCAAGAAAAAGCACACTAAGGTCATGGAGTGACCTAGCCAGTCTCCAGACTTTAATCCCATAGAAAATCTGTGGAGGGAGCTGAAGGTTCGAGTTGCCAAACGTCAGCCTCGAAACCTTAATGACTTGGAGAGGATCTGCAAAGAGGAGTGAGACAAAATCCCTCCTGAGATGTGTGCAACCCTGATGGCCAAATACAAGAAACGTCTGACCTCTGTGATTGCCAACAAGGATTTTGTCACCAAGTACTAAGTCGAAGGGGTCAATTACTTATTTCACTCATTGACATGCAAATCAATTTATAACTTTTTTTAACATGTGTTTTTCTGGATTTTCTTTTTGTTATTTTGTCTTTCACTGTTAAAATACACCTACCAGTAAAATGATAGACTGATCATTTCTTTGTCAGTGGGCAAATGTTTAAAATCAGCAGGGCGTCAAATACTTTTTACCATCACTGTATGCTTCCATCTCTAGCCCACCGGTTTTGTGAAAATACCCGATATGATGGAATGGAGGGTATGTTGTTGCCTGCTAAGATTAAAATGTAAAATAAAGAGATATTGGTACATCCAGGTATCTTGTACCACAACACAACATATTTAAGGACAAAGGAATGCCCAATGCTATATCACCCTATCCAGTATCAAATTCAAATTAATTAATTTTTTTAATCACCACAACAGCCTGCTGTAGTAGCTACGGTGTCAGAAGCACCCTAGTGCCCTACCAGACTAAGTAGTCAAACTATTTAGGAATCGTTCTTGCTAAGTACCAGCTGCCACCTCCACTGTTGCAGGAATCGCCTGCAAGGATCTTCTAGTTAGCTCAACGCAACTAATGCCTGTAAGACGGTGTCATAACATTAAAAATATTTTGCCCATTAATCAATTACTTGGCCCCACTTCAGTAGAATTATTACTCTATTAAGGTGTGTGCCCAGTTATTTTTTACAACTTTTTTTTAGAACATTTATTAAATAATTTGTAATGAAAAACTTTCTTATTTACAAGCTTAACTGTACATTACTTGAAAAATGTGTAAAAAAATTGCTTTAGTGGTAACCATTGCCATTGCCAATCAATTGCACACAGGAACCTAAATAGAGACAAAGTGGTAATATGAACCTGCCATAGAGGGTACCTGGAAACACCAGATAACACTGGTGCACACCTATGCCCCCCATATATGTATTAATGGTATGAGGACCAGGGAACTGCAGCTGCCTACTGTGCCTTTTTCTCAGATATGGAACTGAAACCTTTTTTATTACTTCTTGACTAGATCATCTTATTTTATAACATCGGAGATTGCAAAATAAAGCCTTTTTTAAGCGTTCATTTTCTACCATTTTGGGGTACATTCACCAAAAATAAACAGGTTGAAATTTAGCTAGATGAAGTCAGATGTAGATAAGTTTTTATTCTTGAAGCCGGCCTTATTTACTTTTTTCACAAAGCGTAGAAGCAGCAACTAGCATTTAAAAAGGCTGTCTACCCCTAATAAAGTCAGATGAAGCAATATAGCAAACTTCAGAAAGTCCTTGATAATATTTGGCTGTTAAGCAGTGCTCCTTGACATCATCTAATGGGCGTGATGCAGTGAATTACAGATGTATTGGCGGCTTTGAGATAAAAATGGCCCAAAAGGTACAAAATAAAACAGAAAAACAGATCACCAATAAACTAGTACACAGACTAAAAGCAGCCTTCACATTTCCCATCCAAATTACAGTAGTCTGTGGGCAGAAGTATACTAATAGGGGGATGGAGGGTGGTCCGACCCAGGTGATATGCGGTGGGGGTGCATAGAGTACCCCCCTCCAAAGCAGGCACATCTGTGTGTTTATATGTGTCCATGTGTGTGTTTGCATATAAGTGCATGTATATCAGTGTGTTTATGTATGTGTTTGCTTGTGTATATGAATGTACGTGTGTATATGAATGTAAGTATGTGTGAATATGAATGTATATGTATATGAAAGTGTATGTTAAAATTCCATGTATGCCCCCTAGATTTCAGATTTCTTCATTCTGCAGTACCTCACAGTGCCACCTTGCTGTGGTGCTGTTGCAGGCTGCTGCACTCAGATTGGTCAGCTCTGACTCTGACCCCAACTGGCCCTACCTGATAATTACCTGATAATTATCTTCTCCCTATTAAGCCTTTTTTGGTTGCATATTGGGTTCTGATTGGGTATCAGCACCCCTTCACACCAAAACCCTCACAGTGTATATGATTGTGAGTGTGTGCAGTTTCTCTAACAAAATGGGATTGGGAGTGCTTAGTGAGACACACACAGCTCGGGGGATGGTAAAGCTAAAATATTTTTCTGCCTTCTGCCTCTGTCTGTGGGCACTATTTAAAGGAACACTCTAAGCACCATAACCACTCCAGAAGTGCTCTATCAAGCCCCAATGTAAGTAGTAACACTCCAAGCACCATAACCACTCTAGAAATGCTCTATCGAGCCCCAATGTGAGTAGTAAAAACTTTTGTCAAGGTTTGATATCGTACGTGTGGTTAGTTGGGCAACACTCCCTGCCTCTTCCATTTTCAGTATAGGACTTTCCTTTATCTATCCTGACCTAAGCTCAGCAGGGCCATTGCTGAGCCGACTTACTGGTTGAGACAGTCAGCTAATTGCTCTCAGCTAATAAGCAAAGCCCTGCACTGCCAGACATAGCTCAGACGAAGATTTTCCATCTACAGAGAGGCAGGACAAACCTGGGATAACAAATGGTTTGATTAACTAAATTTGGTGGTGCATAGAACAGCGTGCTGTAGTGGTACTTGAAGTGTTCCTTGAATACCATAGTGACTAATCATTCCTCTGGTGGGGGTAGTACATTAATGAACCAGACGATTTAGGACCCCTTCGCGGATATACTATTTCAGATCCCATAAAATGAGGAAATTCACGTGTGTGTATATATTATATTCAAACTCATTATCAGTAACACATACCCCAAACACAGGAAGTACAGAAAAAGGCAAAAACCCCTGGTTAGTATGGGCCAAGAGTATCCTTACTTTTTTACCCACCAACTATAACCAGTCCATTTCCAGGTGAGAATGTTTGCATAGCTGTTTGTATATTTGACATGTTCTTAGAGATAACCTGCAATTCTGAATGATTTTGCAGTTGCACTCTGTCACATGAAACATGTGCCAGATCATTGATGCAAATGGAAATATCCATATACTGTCACTTCTTCGCAACTAAGCAACTAGTAATACAGATACAGTTATTGGAGACACAGTGGCCATTAGGTTTATAATGGCCTCAGTGGCCACATAACTATGACTATATAATAATATATAATAATATAATAATTGCAAATCAGTTGGGCTTGAGACTGGATCATCATTTAGATATAACAATCAGGCAATATGTAGGACGGCACCTCTGGTTCATTAACAGTATTCAGCAGTAAGGCTGTACACAAGAAATATAATCCATGTTAAACATGTAGGAATAAGTGTTGACAAGGACTCTTTCAAATAGCAGTAAAGTTGAAGTATATGTTTGAGAACAATGTAGTATTAAAACTATAATAGCCTTACATATATTATACATTTACCCCTGGAATATTATGAATTCTATTTAATTCCAAGAAAATAGCAGCACCAAACATTCATTGTATTGTACATGTAAAATATAGCAAATCATGTATTTAACACTTTGTTCCTAATTAAATACAAATACAATGCCTTGCAATAGTATTCAGGCACTCGAACAATGCTCACATTTTACTGAAAAACTGTTTATGTATTGGACTTTTGTTCTGTATGATACTTCATCAGAAAACTAGACTAGTGCACTTTAAGCATTTCGGCTCTACCAAAGATTTTTTTCCCAAAGATAGATCACTTTTTAGGACACTTAAACATTCGGTTGGATATCGGTTTATGCGAGGCCAAACGCTGATTCAGGAGTCAAATCCAAAGATTGGCAAGGAAAATAAAAACATTAACAAGATAGAGCTTTTGACCACAATTCAAACTGCTCTGTGTTTCACAAAATAAAACACTGCTTTTACCCCAATAAAAGAAAGTTTGCTTTTAGCTTTTAGCTCAACTTTTAGCTCAACAACGAGCACAAAGCAAAGCAACGTTGTAATAACGTAAATAATAAGAACAAATTATAAAATTCTACAGTGACCCTGTCAAAGTTCTAATCTTAAACTCATTGAGAATCTGTGGCATTATCTGAAAATTACAGTCCACAAGCTTTACGTATCCAACATGGCACAAAAATGCCAAAAACAACAAACAAAAATTACATCCAGACTTAAAGCTGTTATTACAGCAATACATGGCTCCCCTAACTATTAATAAGAGGAGGCTGAATGTTTATGCAAACAATACACTTCATTTTTTGTTTAAAATATTTCCTCATAAATACCTAATTTTGACTTTAAAATGTGCCGTTAAAACGGATGAATTTGCTTTCATTCATGACGATCGTTTGTAAAACAGAAAAAAATATAAATATATTTTATCAGGGTCTGAATGCTTTCGCAAAGGAAACATATATATATAAAGATATATGTATATATATAAAGTGTTGTTAACAGATTAAAATATACATTAGACATATTAAAATTGGTGTCAATACTATAACATTAAATATAGTATACCTTTAAAAATGACCATGCATAATTAATTACAGTAATTCTATTTCTGGTATAAGTCTTAACCATACTTGTAGAGATTGTTTCGCAATGCTTCCAAAACGTGATGCTACATTTTAAACATATTAGCTGTTATCCTTCAAATATACAAGGAAATGTAGTGAGCACTTCTGTTTGATACTGTGTGTTAATTTTCAGAAACGGTGGGATTATATTATGAACCACTATTTCTAATACATTTGACCAAATTATACCATCTAAATGTTGTCTTTAATCTTCTTTACATTGTTGCATCAATCTGTCTTTTCCTATAAATTTTTGTATAATGAAATTTGATATATCACCATTGTTAAACCTTTAATCATGCATAAATTATATCTGTTTCCAAAAATAGATATACGTGTATTTCTTTCATTGATTGTTGTTATTATTACTATTTTATAATTAAAAGTGCCAGCATATGTTGCAGCTCTGGATAATATATAAATAAAACAAATTTATTGTAACAACACAAGCTAAACATACATGATGAAGCATGTTCATAGTTTGGAAGCCAAATATAATTACACAAGGAGATGTCTGTTTCTCCCCTAACTCCTTTGTGTGTCTCTTTTTACTCTTCCCTTCTGTGTGCCTCTTCCCCTTAGCCCTTTTTTGTGTTTGTTTATCCCACAGCCCTTCTATGTGCCTCTTGCCCCAGCCCCTTTGTCCCACCTCAAACCCGCTGTGTGTCTTTGTACCCCCAGCCCTTATGTGTGTCTCTTTGTTCCCCCTTTCCCTTTGTGTGTCTTTTTCCCCCAGCCTAAATGTGTGTCTGTTTGTGCTCCCTCCTCCTGTGCCCTTCTTTTGCCCCTCCCCTCCTGTGCCCCACCTTTGCCCCTTTCCCCTCCTGGGCCCTTCTTTTTTCCCCTCCTCTCCTGTGCCTTATTTAGCCCCCACCCCTCCTGTAAATTATTTAGCCACTCCCCTCCTTTGTACTTCTTCCCCCTCCCCTCCTGTACCTTCTTTTGCCCCCTCCCCTTCTGTGCCCTACTTTTGCCCCCTTCTCCCTCCTGAGCCCTTCTTTTGCCCCCTCCACTTCTATGCCTTTTTAGCCCCCCACCCTCCTGTGATTTATTTAGCCCCCCTTCCCTTCCTGTGTATTTAGCCCCCCCTTCCCTCCCCTCTCCTGTGCCTTATTTAGCCCCCACCCCTCCTGTGAATTTTGGCCACTCCCTCCTTTGTACTTCTTCCCTCCCTCCTGTCCTTCTTTGCCCCCTCCCTTCTGTGCCCCTGCTTTTGCCCCTTCTCCCTCCTGAGCCCTTCTTTTTGCCCCTCCACTTCTATGCCTTTTTAGCCCCCCACCCCTCCTGTGTGATTTATTTAGCCCCCTTCCCTTCCTGTGTATTTAGCCCCCCTTCCCCTCCTCTCCTGTGCCCTCTTTTGCCCCTCCCCTCCTGTGCCCTTCTTTAGCCCCCTCCCCTCCTGCGCCCTTATTTAGCACCCCTACCTTCCTGTGCCCTTTGTAGCCACCTTCCCCTTCTGTGTTTTTATTGTCTCCCTGATCGTCTGTGCACTCTTTAGCCCCTTCCCCTCCACTCCGTAGGCCCTCTCCTCTCCACTCTTTAGCCCCCCTCCCCTCCACAGCCCCTTTCACCTCCACTCTATAGCCCCTCTACCCTCCTCTCTATAGCCCCTAGCCCCTCCACTCTATAGTCCTCATATTTAGTCCCCCTCCCCTTCACTCTTTCAACCTCATACCCTTCAGTCATTAGACCTGCTCCCATAGGCGTGCGCACGGGGTGTGCCGGGTGTGCCTGGGCACACCCTAATCCCCGTGCGCACCCCTATGGTTTGAGTCCTGCAGGAACAGCGTTCCTGCACTCTTTTGAGCAGGAACGCTGTTCCTGCAGGCACTCAGTGTCCCCCGTCTCACCTCTTGCCACTGTCATGGGAGGGCAAGAGGTGATGATCCCCCCCACCCTGCAGCTCAGCGCGCGGCGAGGGAGCTCTCTGCTCCCTCTCGCCGCGCGCTGATGCCGGGAGCCGGAATATGACGTCATATTCCGGCTCCCTGCTACAGCAGACAGCCCGCGCGGCGAGAGGGAGCAGACAGCAGAGAGCAGAGAGCTCCCTCGCCGCGCGCTGACCTGCAGAGAGGCGCCCGCCCCACTGGACCCCAGGGACAAGTCCACCAGCACTCCAGGTAGGAGGCTGGGTGGACATTTAAAAAAAAAAATTAAAATATAATAATTTGTGTGTGTCTGTGAGTGTGTGAGTATGTGTCAGTGTGTGTGTGTCAGTGTGTGTGTGTGTCAGTGAGTGTGTGTCAGTGAGTGTGTGTCAGTGAGTGTGTGTCTGTGTGTGTCAGTGTGTGTGAGTGTGTGTCTGTGAGTGTGTGAGTGTGTGTCTGTGAGTGTGTGAGTATGTGTGTGTCTGTGAGTGTGAGTGTGTGTGTCTGTGAGTGTGTGAGTATGTGTGTGTCAGTGTGTGTGAGTGTGTGAGTATGTGTCTGTGAGTGTGTGTCAGTGTGTGTCTGTAAGTGTGTGAGTATGTGTCTGTGAGTGTGTGTGTCAGTGAGTGTGTGAGTATGTGTGAGTGTGTGTGTGTGTCAGTGTGTGTCTGTGAGTGTGTGAGTATGTCTGTGAGTGTGTGTGTCAGTGAGTGTGTGAGTATGTGTCAGTGTGTGTGTCAGTGTGTGTCTGTGAGTGTGTGAGTATGTGTGT